TTAATGTATATGTTACCAATACTATCAGACTCTCCCCTAGTCTTTAATCATTTAATTAGTCTCTCAAAACCCATCTCTTCAGAATAACCTATGGCCTCCCACAGTAACTTATATTTCACATACCTACCTCTAAAAAATGTAAAAAGCTCTCTCTTAAAAAGCCACACTCCAATCTCACCTTTTGCTATTTTTCACCCTGTCGATTGGTTGCTACCACATGCTGCCCCTTCCTATTGCATGTCTATACCCCACCTCTTCTAGATTGTAAGCTCTTTTGAGCAGGCTACTCATCAACCTACTGTTCCTGTAACATTTTTTAATAGTCTCATCTATTGTTAAATTTCCACCTTGATAATATTGTAAATAGCTGCGGCATATGTTGGCGCTATATAAATGATGATGATATTAATAATAAAAGAACTCGCTTGTTTTATCCGTAAAATTGAATTTGTTCCTCATCCACCATTCTGTTCAGTAGCTGCGTTTGACAGGACTGAAATATAACGTTGCATTACTGCCGCAGTACACAAAAAAAGTTGAGCTAATCCTCTTATTTCCTTGATAGAAGGGAGGGGGTATTGATTGTTATCTAGAGCAATGTGCGTCCGTCCCTTCTCTTTTTCCCTGGCAAGTTCTTTCTCGCCTAATTGAACATCAGATCTCCCAAGCACTGGTTCACAGCAATCTTGGGGCCATGTCAGGGAAACATCTCAAAACAGAAAATAAGGAATCTGCTCCGATGGACGATGACAAACCACAAGATATGTGTCACCTTTAAGTGTTTGTAGGAGATTTTTAAATGATATAGGCGGAATGCCATGTCTTGCTAGTTCTCCGAAGATGTATTATCAACTATTCAACTTTATTAGGAAGAAACCTACTAGTCTCATACCTCGTCGGGAATTTATGATAGAAATGTTGTATTTTTTTTATTTTTAACCAGTTTTTTGTCTTATTCCCATATCTGATTGGAACATGGTTTATTAAACCCAGGATTCCAGACTTGTTAAGGGTTCCGTAAAGAGAACTCTGAGGCAAAGTTGTAAGTTGTAATAGTGGCACAATCAGCAAGGAAATTTAATTTACTCTTTGAACGCTTGCAAATAATTTAAAGGGGAACATCAGAAAATTATAACATTGGTTAGAAAACTGAAAATGACTTAATTTGTGCAATGCTTTTTTTCATGTGATTCTCAGTTTACTTTTAAAAAGTGTATGAAATATTGAGAAAGTTACATCAAAATCCAGTTCAATGGAAGCACAGGCAGACATACTAAGTAAATTAGGAGCAAAATAGTAACATTGTTTAATTTTTTTCTCTCATGTTTTACGTCTTATGCGTTCTCTTTTCTGATTGCCAGGTGCAAAGTACAGATCTTATGACAAAGACTGACAGCGAGCCAAAATGGAGGTGCCCAGTTGTAGGATAAAGTGGCGTAGATATCTACATTTAATTTTATTTTTCACACCTTATATGTGATAACTAAGCATAATATGGTGGTAAGCACTGTTCCCCCGCGTGCACATACCTTTTTGAGGGAGCGCACATGTCGTCCGAATATGTGCACAGTTCCTCAATGGTGTGTCATGGAAGGCCCAGGAGGTGGCCACCTTAGGGCAGCCCCTGGAGCGGGCACTTAATCAGCAACGGAAAGTAGGCTTCTGTCAGTGACTGTGGATGTCAGTGTGTGTTTCAAATCAGTGACATTGTGTGTCTATTATTGATTCTTGATTGTCACATCTGTGTGTTTAAGAAGCATTAATGTATATGTTACCATTTATTGGGCAAATAACTCCCTTTGAAAACTCTATGGGTGACATTTCTCCATATGATGTTTGCTATTGGTGTCTGCTGGATTGGGTTGTTTGTTTCTCCTGTGTGCTTTGGACAAATCCCATCATACCAAGATAAATTTTTTGTTTTTAAGAAGAATTAATGTACATTTCACAATTTATTGGGCAAAGCGCTCATTTAGGAAATTCTATGGGTGACGTGACATCTCTCCTCCTCTCCATATAATGTTTGCTATAATTGTGTCAGCCGAATTTGATTTATCTGTAAGAAGCATTTATTATTTATATATCACAATTTATTGGACTGCATTCACGGTCAGGGCCGGACTGGGGATACAAAGCAGCCCTGGAAAAAAAATTTGTGCCAGCCCCATAAGTCACTGCGCCATATATTGTCGCGTGTAATATGTAAGGCTATGTCTTGCCAGGACAGATGATTGAGTAATATATATATTGGCCCTTTCAGGGTAAAACTTTTAATTATACAGTAAGCATACTCACATGCAGACACAGGCAATTTCACTGACATCTCAATGACACACACAAGCTCATTGATACACAGCCTCATAGACAAACAATCTTACTGATATACATCAGCTCATTGACATAAAAACACAAGCTCACTCACTAGCAGGCACACGCATGCAAGCAAGCTCTATAGCTCACTACAGGCTTTTCAACGTAAACACTGACTTTTCAGAGAAAAGGCAGTGTTTACATTGCTTCAAAGTGACACTGCTAGTGACAGTCACTCAGACGGTCACTAGAGGTGCTTCCTGTGTTAGTGCACCTACATTCAGGGCCTCCACACTCTGTAGGTGCTGAACGTTCCCCATAGAGATACATTGATTCAATGCATCTCTATGAGGAGATGCTAATTGGAGTGGCCGTTTTGCAGCCAAATGGCAAAGCATTGGATTGGCTGAGATCATCAAGCTTGATGATCTCAGCTATAGAGGCAGGGCCAGTCGAGGGAGACCAGCACGCTGCGTGGGGAAAAAAAAAAGGTGAGCAAAACACTATTTTTAAACACACATTTACACCATGACAGACACAGAAACACACATATACCATGACAGATACACACCCCATACAGACACACACACACACACACCATGACAGACCATGACACAGACAGACACACACACCCCCCATGATGGACAGACAGACACACACACCCCCCATGATGATGGACAGACAGACACACCCACTGACGGACAGACAGACACAAACATCCCCCATGGCCGGACCACCCCAGCGGACAGACACACACACACACACACACCCCGCTGGCGGACCAGGCGCACACCCCGCGCTGGCCGGACGCACCCCCCCATGGCCGGACGAACAAACACACCTCCCCATGACCGGACACACACCGCAGCCGGACAGACACACACACACACACCCCCATGATGGACAGACACACACACACACACACCCCCATGGCGGACAGACACACACACACACACACACCCCATGACGGACAGACACACACACACACCCCATGACGGACAGACAGACACACACACACCTCATGACGGACAGACAGACACACACACCCCCCCCATGATGGACAGACAGACAGACACACACACCCCATGACGGACAGACAGACACACACCATACAGACACACTATGACACAGACAGACAGACACACACGCACCATACAGACAGACACCATGACACAGACAGGCAGACACACACACCATACAGACAGACACCATAACACAGACAGACAGACAGACACACACACACCATACAGACAGACACCATAACACAGACAGACAGACACATTACTAGTACCTGCCACCAGGGGGAGGTCTTCTGGCGGCCGCTGGAGGACTTGTCCTGGCGGCCGCTGGGGGAGCTGCGCTGTCTGTGCTCTCCCGCCCTCGCGCGCTGCTGAATGAGACCGGCGCCGGAATATGACGTCATATTCCGGCCTTGATCTCCTAACTCTTGTATGAAACGAAACCAACGCAAGCTCCATGACATGAAGACCTCCCCAGCGGCAGCCAGCAGAAGTCCCCAGTCTGCCCGACCCCAGGTGCCGACGGCCCACTGGGAAATTTTCCAGTATCCCGGTGGGCCAGTCCGGCCCTGTTCACGGTTTCTGCACAAATTGGAGAAATAAAATGCTTGCCCAAATACAGTCAACAAGCTGCCAATATTATCTGTTGGCTAAATGAAAAGTAAAATTTGTTATGGATTAAATAAATTGCTATTTACTTTGGTGAGGGTGGGGCTGAAGCTTTTTGGCAAAGTATAAAGAGGTTTATCTGGCTAAATGGCTGACATTACAGTAATGTTGTTTAATTACTTATACTACAATATCCCGTAGTAATACTATATTGTAGTGAGAGAGTGAGAGAGAGGCTGTGCTGTACCAAATTAATCGAGAAACAATTCAGGGTTACATTTGCACAAACAAGAAAGAAAGAAAGAAGAATTAGAGGGAACATTGCTAATAAGTGGTAGGAATTAAAGGACCACTATAGACACCCAGACCACTTCAGCTTAATGAAGTGGTCTGGGTGCCAGGTCCAGCTAGGTTTAACCATTTTTTCTATAAACATAGCAGTTTCAGAGAAACTGCTATGTTTATAAATGGGTTAATCCAGCCTCTAGTGGCTGTCTCATTGACAGCCGCTAGAGGGCTTCCGCGCTTCTCACTGTGATTTTCACAGTGAGAAGACGCCAGTGTCCATAGGAAAGCATTGAGAATGCTTTCCTATGGACTGGCTGAATGCGCGCGCAGCTCCTGCCGCACATGCACATTCAGCCGAAGAGGAGGAGGAGGAGAGCTACCCACCCTGCGCTGGAGAAAGAGGTAAGTTTAACCCTTTCCTCCCCCCAGAGCCGGGCAGGAGGGGGACCCTGAGGGTGGGGGCACCCTCAGGGCACTATAGTGCCAGGAAAACGAGTATGTTTTCCTGGCACTATAGTGGTCCTTTAAGATTTTATCTGAAATAATTGAAAGGGGATGCCGCTGAATTGGGACGAGTGTATTTATATTTCGCTGTCCTGAATCTTTTTTTTCACTCTTTGACTTTTCCTGGATCTGTAGTAGACTTTGCCCGGCTAATGGGGCAATATTGATGATTTGTGTGATTACCCTTGTCACACTGAAAGACCTGCAATGTACAGGCCTTGATTCCTGCAGTACGTTATATTGTTTTTATTTAAACACATTGGAAGTTAAGTCAATTTTACAATACACCCATAGTAAAAATAAAATGATATTGCATACATGATGAGATGTGAAAAGGATTGGAAGTCCAAACTCATATTGTCCAATTATAGTCCCATTGTCTCTTTACTAAAACATTTAAATCAAAAAGATTCAACAGTGACGATCCCAACCAGATTTTACAGTTAATACAGGAAAACACTAGTAAACGCTAATGAGCGGGTACTTAGAATCTGCAAAATATTTCACTTTATCGCCCTGATCTCTAGCCCAGTGGATAAGCAAAAACAAGTTTGAACCTTCTTTCATGATGTCTCTACCAGGACCCTTGGCTGGGCTTATTCAATAAGCCCTTATAATACTGCTGATAGTCTCTTACTAAATGTATCGGTGTCTGGTCTCCAGCTATAGAAAGTTTAGAAAGACTCTGTTTGTTCTGTCCACTGCCAACTGCCAAGTAGTCATTTCTGAGTTCATGGTACCCGCTTCTTTCCCTCCTCTTCTGTTTCCACTTATCTTCATTCCCTTCACCTGTATGTGTTATACAACTCTTAATCTTTATAAACTAACATTACATCTGTTACCTTTTTATTTATACTTTATTATTTCAGAAACTCATGGCAATTTTATCAGTACAAAACCATCACAGCTCTGTATTTTAACAGGAGCATCCCCACATATGTTGTTTAATAGAAAAATAAAACTAGTGGGATTTATTCACAAAACCCCCCATTGTCTCCTGGTCTGGGATGAAACTCAGCTTAATTTGAATGAAACCAGCACTTTCAATACTGGGTTAAATGGTTAGCTATTTACTAACGGGCTAGTGATAAAATAAACTCCAAGTCTGGCAAAGTGTAAACACAATATTAAGATGAAATAAATAATACAACATTTAACCCAAAAAGTGTGGAGATGGTGTCTAACAAACTATGGTGGAGGAACGGGGGCTATTATGGCCAGCTTAGGGAGTTTATCCCTACGATAGAAATACACCCTGGTTAACTACACAAAATAAACTCCAGACACATACAGTTTTCAGCGGTAAATATATTTAACATCCAATAATATTAACAGCATAAATGTGCTGACAGTATGTAGCAAATCGTTGTAGATCCCTCATATCATTAAAACCAAACAAACTACCATAATCACTGAAACAGATATGTTACGCCATTAATTTGCATTTTAACCTTAGGTTAATGGCAGCTAACAGACTGCTCACTATAGCTGAATTCTAGTCCTTATCTCTCCCTTTATATATCACCCCAGTCCTGACTACGAGCGTTTTTCAACTAGACCCAAAATAGTTCACCAATTCTTTATCAACAACATTTTGTAAGATGATGGCTTTGTAACGGACTGAAAGTTTCTATTTCAAGCGGCACTGTCATGTTGTTGTGTTTTTTCTTTCACTTTTGTAAAATAATCTTGTATCTTAATTAATATATTCCACCCCCACACCCTTTCTATCTTAATGTATTCCATTCCTTGCTACTTTATTTATATTAATTATCTTATCTTCTTTGTGCTAGATCTCTAAACCTACGTGCTGCCATTTTGTTCTCCTCTGATCTCCGAAGTTTGCACATCTGAAGGAATTCTTTTGACTGATGGATTGTGGGGAAAATTAGTGAAGCAATTGAAATGGAACTTTGCTAAAGTTCTGCCTGTTTTCAAAAACGTGCTAGAGATCACACTCCCCATGAGAAAAAGTAGTCTCTACTTTCACTTATGTATAAGTTAAAAAAAAACTAAGATGAATTAAAAAAAAAAAGTAAAAACAAGGGGAAAAACAGAGGGACAAAAAAGGATTAATTTAAAAACAAAATTTATATACTATTCTAAAACACATGCTACGGTAGATAGAATATTAAAAAATGGACTACTTCTTAAGGGTTCTTGGAACTAAGCACAACTATTGAATAGAGACATTTCCACATCAATAAAGAGAGACACCCCACCTCAATAAACGCTATTGATTTACTTATGGCAGTAAGTAGTGCACCAATAATAAAAACACACTAACATTTTAGGGAAATGCCATGATTCTACAATGCTCTTGGCACTCTCGGACACTTGGGCATTTTTTCTATAGTGCACTGCAGGTTTTAAATTAATTGACATGGAGTGTGTAGATACATTATTATCAGTAAAAACACACATCCAGTCTTCAAATGAGATATTTTGGATTTGATTGGTAACATCATCCAAAGTATATAAATAACATTTTAAAATATATTAAAATATTTGTAATACTTTTCTTTGAACATAATAAAAGCTATATTGAGATATGTAATTCACATAAGAAGGCTCATAAACATGGATTTATATTATAGGATTAGAAATGTGTTAATCATATTCCTCATGTTTCCGAAGTCTTGACTTTTTTTCTTCTTGTCGACGTCTCCACGCTTCGATAATATCGTCATCATTCGTTTCTTCTTCTGCCACTTTTGTCTCTTTGGATCGAGCTCTGAGATGGGCCGAATATGACATTTCAGCTCCGTCATTTTCTTGTTCCACCTCCGCATCTTCATATCCGGCAGAAGACTTTTTGAAATTTCTTCTGCTGACAAAATCACCTGTATCTGAGTTATCTGAATCACCAGAGGGCTCATGGGGATACATTCTAGCTGGCCTATTCTGTACAAAACTATTATTTTCTAAATTACTGCTCTCACACGAATATTCACCAGAGTTTGGGTCAGGGCTGCTTTTTCGGTCCTGTTCATTGAACTTGGAAGTTCTGCCATGGTAACTCTCTTCCTCAGATGACACTGAAAATCTAGACCTGGATCTGTCAGTGTCTTTGTTACTTTGGAAAGATGAAAATGAATTACTGTCTTGTTCTGACAGGTTACTGGAATATCCATAGCCATTCATTTCAGTATTTACTTCTTTCTGGGCTTTAGATCGTCTTGAATAGCTTTCAGAAATGTTCTCCTTCTGTGATGTTGTCCTCCCTTCAGTTTTAACCTCGCTAAGCCATCTACTTATATTTTTTTCCAACTCAGAAGTCGAAGTGTTGGCATTTGTTAAATAACTAGAGTAGGAAGTAACTTCACGATTCTTCGAAGATGTAGAACTTCTCAAGTTTGTGTTTGACACAATTTCTTGTTTTTCTTCATCCTCCCCATTATCTTTGGCCTTTTTTTTCTTAAACAAGTAGCTACGCTTATTATCACTTTCAACTTTTTCTTTTCTATAGCGAGTTAACTTTCCACTTAGCTCCTCTCTAAGTTCACTTTCTTTCTGGTTAAGCTTCTTCAAATCAACTTCATCTAAAAAGAGACTATGAAGAGGGACACTTGTCTGTGTAATTTTTCTCTTTGCACTTGATATGTTCGTGTTTGAACTTAATGATGTATTGTAAGACATTACTGAATCAGTACCTTTAGATTCCCGATTCTTCAATAAAGAACCAGATAAGCAAGAGCCCCCGGCCCCACTAATTAATGACATCTTATCATCATCTACTCTTCGTCCATGTTCTCCAGATGCCATGCTTAAAACTGAAGGTGCTCGAGACATCATCATTATTTCATTTTGTTTTTGTGCAATGGTTTCACTAACCACATTGGTAATCCAATTCTGAATGCTGGCTATGGAAATTGCATCAACCGGTCCAGGTGGCATGTTCTGTGGCAATGTGGCAGGTGTATTGACTTGACTGGCAGTGCTTCTTGCCTTAGATGTTCTAGATGCATTGCTCTTCATGCTCAATACAGAAGCTCCATCGTTAACACCAGTGACTGAAGGAGCACTTTGGAAAAATGCAGAAAGAGGGATACTTCCACTAAGTGCACTTTCTGTCTCCCAACCACACATAGACTGGCTCTCTTCAAGGTTCTGTTTGGAACGTTCTATTATCTCCTCTCTCCTCTGCCTTCTCTTTACTGCAGCACTGTCTTCACCTTTTGTAAGTTCGACAATTTCGTCTTTGTTTTCATTGCCTATTTTCTTTTGCTGCTTGATCTTCCATGACTGGTAAGCTGTTAGATCAATATCAGACTTACTAGAACCTTCAGCTTCCGTTTGCTCAGAATTTGCAACTTTATTTTGATTATCAGAAGTCTCTGAGTCCTTTTTATGGAATCCAAACTGGATTCTCTTGACTTTCCATCTTTCTAGTGCAGTAAGTTTGTGCTTGTTCTTCTTGCAAAAGTTGAACAAAGAACCAGTTTCGGACAAAACACTTTCCTCATCTATATCTTTGTTTTCATTTTTTGTTTTTTGTTCAGACTTCTCTTTAGCTTCCTTTTCAATTTCCTGAAGCCTCGTATTCCACATGTCCCACGTGCTATCTGTACATACTGAATCAGAACGACCTCTGCTCGTTCTGTTGATTTCACTCAATTCGAGTTGCTGTTTGAGAAGTCGAATATCTTCGGAGGTCACACTCTCCATGTCGCTTATCTCACTTGGTGTGTACCTTCCCCCTCCTATCAGGGAATTTGCATCATCTTCAAGTCCTGTTGGTTGATACTTTGCAGTCTGGCGCTGCCAGTCATGTATCCTCTGCTCCACATAATCATTGCTTACATTTCCTTCTTCGGGAAAAGCTAGCCCTTGTTGATTTACCTTTTTTGGTACTTCTCTTGGGGGGAGTCCCTGTTTTTTTCTCCATTCTTCATATAACTTCTCCTCCTCATCTTCATCAATAAGGGTTGGCTGTTTAGACACCACACTCGACTTTTCCATTAGACTCATGGCACTTCCCATCACACTTGTGGTGTCTTCCTCCTCAACAATAATAGAGTGTACTTTGGCTCCCATTGTGCTTTCCGCATCTTCTTCTTCCACTATTATAGAATGAGCTTTGGCTTGGACCACAGAGCTTTGACTGCTAGCATCATCTGAATATTCTCGCTCCTCTAACAGCACCTCATTAAGTACACGTAGCTGCATAATAAATCCATCATTAGGATATATGGCCCTTTTTTTGCGTATCGTCATCAGAGCTTCCAAGATTGTCATGTGATGGAAAATCATCAAATATGCAGCAACCAGGATCGCTGATCTACTGCTACCCATTTCACTGTTGACTAAAACTTTACCTGCAAGAAAATAATGAAGACAGTTATTGTTTTGAATGTTGAATATAGTTGAAGTAAATCCATAGTCTCAAGAAAAATAATGCTCTACTTGTGGTCAGTATTTCCCGTTCATTTAATTTGTACATTTCAGTTATCCCCTAAATCAGTTTTGGGCAACATATTGGGTTCAAGGGGCCCAAAATTATCACAACTAGCCGTTGATGAGAGGTGCTGGTAATTAGATATTCACCCTTAGTAAGCGTGCCATGGACTCTCAAGTGAGACTTCTCTCAAAACTTGGCTGTCAGAGCTCTCTGGTTTGCTGGGTTACAAGTCAAGCAACGAGAGTGCTTTTACTGATGCGATGCAATAGCTGACACACAATGGAAAAGCCATTATAAGGTCTTTCTCCTCTATGAGAGCTCAATCTGCAACAAGCTCTCGCAGGGCAAAGATAGATTAATTTTATTGTTTTTTGGGGGTATATTTTCTCCTTTTTTTATTTTTGCAAATTGATTTTTTTAATTTATATTTTTATGTCATTAGTTGCATTGGGAATTATGGATTTTATTTTGAAGGGGGGTGCACAAGCCACTATTTGTCCACCCCACCCCCATTGTGTAACTATTTAGAGCCTCCACCTTCTGCCCTTGGGTAATCTGTCCACCTCTAATTATTCATTTTAATGTCCACCACCTGATACTGGCTGGTGGGAGAACAGAGTTTTTAACTATTGCCAAGGGTTTCTTCCGCCTGCTTCCACTACCAGCTTGCAAATAGTTTGGATGTTTATAAATCTGGGCCCGAATTTGAAGCATTCAGTCTTCATTTCAGCCATCCAGTGTCGTCCATTTTCGGATGTCAGACGTTGGGGCCTGAATTCCAAAATCTGGACACTGTTGTATTGCATAAGCAATGTCTAGACTTTGCAGTCCGAATGGCCCCGTATACAGCCAGATGGTTTTCCCCCTTTCAAGACAGGGACATTTGGACTTTAGTTAATAACCCATAGAAGAACTAAAATATTGTCAATATCAATCATTATCCCTCGTATACATATCTTAACATGGTTCGACCTCACTGACAGAGTTCATACGTTAAATATGGGCATTTTTGTGGCTGCAGCATAAACCGACTCGGGTGAAGGACCTTCCTCTCAGACAGTTGGAATTCCCCGAGGCTGACTGACGTGTTGTATAGAAGGTCCCCATATTCTTCCCTTCCCCTCTCTTCATCTAAGCTTCTTTCATACGTAACACTGTATCACACTTTGGGTTGTTAAAGTAACCTTTAGCTCCTTATATAAACCTTTTTATATGGTTTTTCCTCTTTGTCCTATTTGCTATGTATGTTCTATGGCTTACGTATCTGAAGTGTTGACCAAAAAGAGTAGCCAAACTGAACGTTTAGCTGACTTTTTTCAGTTCAGCTATGTTTACCTAAATTTGAAATTCACTTTTAATTTTCACTTGAATAACCCTGAGAATGTTTAAAAAGCAAAAAGGGGTAAAGAATACAACATCACATTGACCTTTTGAAATATTCAAAACTTGAGCAAATGTGCTAGATTTCTACTAACAAGGCTTTTATTTTGGCTTTCTGTGTTGTGTGTATGAGGAAGCTGTGTGTGTGTTGTGGGCTGTGTATGTTCCTTGTATGGGAAAACTGTGTTTGGTGTGTGTGTGTGTGTAGATCGTGTGTTTGTAATAAGCTGTGTATGTATTGTATCTTTTTGTGCAATGCTGTGTGTATGTTTTGTGTGTGATGGCTGTGTGTAAACTTGAATCTATTACAGGTTTTTGTATTTTCAGTGACATTTTGTAATTTTCTATTTAAAGTTGAAAAAAATTGTTTTTGCCCTGCCACTCTCTACCTCTTACCTCTCAAGGAGGAGAGAAAAGTTGCTTCCTCATAGTCCAGTGGACGGAGCTTGTGGTCTGTACCTCCAGTGGGTGCAGGCCAATTATCTTTCCAATACAATGCCCCTCATTGACTCATTCACTGTAAATGAGGGAGCATTGGCTGCAATCTGCACTCTGCGATAGCAGGTGCAGACCAGAAGCTCTGTTGTTATAATGAGAAATTTTGAATTTCCTGTTTGCTTGTAAGTCTGCAGAGTTTTCCCCTTTCTGGCCAACACTCCAGTTAAATGACTAGTTAGGCTTTATGCTTTAATCACACATTGAAGGACAACGTGTTCAGATATTGTGAGGCACAGTACATTTTTATCCAGTTTGAGAGAAAACTCTCCATAAATTCACTGTCTGCTCCACAGCTTTTGCAATAACTCCACTCAGCTCAATTCATGTTTAGCAACGGCGGGCCTAATTTCTTTTTCTATTTTTTAAACTAACTCCAATATGTTTACCTGACTGCTTCTATCCATCACAGCCCCTCTGGTGCCTACTTTCTACAAAGCAGAGTCACCCAATCCCTAAATATAGATTGATTCTCTAAAATGTAAGTTTTGGTGAATGAAAAAGCTAATCTGTTAAATTTAAGACGTGAGAGCCAATTGCGAATGTACTAAAGTTGGAGATTAAAAAAAAAAAAAAAAAATCTACTTTGCTTAAATTTCGTAATTCCAGTTTTAGGTCCATCCCCATTTACTGTTTAACCCCTTAAGGACACGTGACATGTGTGACATGTCATGATTCCCTTTTATTCCAGAAGTTTGGTCCTTAAGGGGTTAAAGAATAGACCCCTAAACACATGCCCTCTTCAGTTATACAACACTTCCGAAAATGTTACAGTTTAATAAAATAACAACATGGACTTATAAGGTCGATACATAATGCAACCTATAGTTAGGATATAATGTTTCAATCTAGTGAAAAAATACTGCAAGTTGTTTGACTTTATGATGTGATTGTCCTGTGTGTTGCAAATCGTACAGTATATGTGATTTGTGAAATAAATTAATGAAACTTGTATTGAAGTTGCCCCAGCCGTTCCCTGAATACAAGAATAATTCCTTTCTAATAGCACACAGTCAATTATTCTTTCTTTCTTTTTTAATAAATCTACAGTAATGTGTCTAACTGTGTGTCCCTTGGTTTAGCTGCTGTTAAACTTTGATAAATAGCGTCCATTGAGAACCACGATGCCCAGGAAAAAAGTCCTCGGTGTGAACTGAGCTTTATAATGGTATTTTGTGAAGCCAGCGAGGCTGACCAGGAGACTTTTATAAAGACGTCTCTAGGAATAAATACAGAAAATGAAGTATATTAAAAAAACAAAAAACCTGCAAAGTTTTTCTCTATTAAATGCATTAAAAATAATGTTAGTTTGCCTAGCAACATGACTTTGACATCAGAGGGCTGCCTTCCACCGCTCCTTCACATAACTCCCAACATTTTAAAACAGAGAGACGGACTATTTCATTTACGGAGTGTGGCCAGGGGCGGATTGTTCTGAGAAATTCTAGGGAAATTCCTAACAATATATGCAACTGAAATGTAATTTATAACAAGAACAATGTATCTTATTACACAGACTAATTACTAGACACATTTATTGTAGTTTAAAGACACATTACTGGGAGTACTATTGCTGTGGAGCTCTGTTATATACTCAGACGCATTACTGCGAGTATTATTGCTGTGGAGCTCTGTTATACACTCAGACACATTACTGGGAGTATTATTGCTGTGGAACTCTGTTATATACTCAGACACATTACTGGGAGTATTATTGCTGTGGGGCTCTGTTATACACTCAGACACATTACTGGGAGTATTATTGCTGTGGAACTCTGTTATACACTCAGACACATTACTGGGAGTATTATTGCTGTGGAGCTCTGTTATACACTCAGACACATTACTGGGAGTATTATTACTGTGGAACTCTGTTATACACTCAGACACATTACTGGGAGTATTATTGCTGTGGAGCTCTGTTATACACTCAGACACATTACTGGGAGTATTGTTGCTGTGGAGCTCTGTTACACAGACACATTACTGGGAGTATTATTGCTGTGGAGCTCTGTTATACACTCAGAAATCTTACTGGGAGTATTATTACTGTGGAACTCTGTTATATACTCAGACACATTACTGGGAGTATTATTGTTGTGAAGCTCTGTTATACACTCAGACACATTACTGGGAGTATTATTGCTGTGGAGCTCTGTTATACACTCAGACACAATACTGGGAGTATTATTGTTGTGGAGCTCTGTTATACACTCAGACACATCACTGGGAGTATTATTACTGTGGAGCTCTGTTATACACTCAGACACACCAATAGAATGGAGCTCTTAGAAAAAAGGAACATTAGGAGAGAAAAGAGGGTCAGAGGAAGATATGAGTTCATACTTTCGACGCTGGGAGATATGAATTAGCCTTAGAAACACTTTCTTTGCAGATCTAGACAGTAAGTTCTGCAGAGCAAGGCACTATATTTCCAATGTGATTTAATGTCAGATATTTTATATCCCAGGGTTTAGAAGCCAGAGCGGGAATATTTGTATTTTGTTGATTTTTAACCAGTTTCGCTTCCAGGTGTATTCTGCACGAACAAACTAAATACTTATGCTACAGGCGAGCTCGGGGGGAAGCGTGTCTCTCGAATTTCCCAAAATGGAGGCTCTGTGTAGTGTGCTAAGTAAGTGACCGTGGGTTTCAGGCACAGGGTGCCGTTTTTGTGTCTGTCACTGTCACAAATGACAGATAAAAAATTATCCAGAGAGATGCAGCTGTCAGGGTGCCCGGGCATTATGGTACTTCGGAACAGACTGCATCACTCCCAGGAGACAAAGCCTCCTCCGTGAGTGACAGTAAATTTCACATTTCAGGCCAAAGTAGTGGAACCTCGAGTATAGCTGACTTCTGAGTTTTTCCAATTTAACTATTTTGGCCTTAAATGTGAAATCCACTTGGAATTCTCAGTTTAGCAAATAACCCTGCAAACGATGTTGCTCTGGCCTGTCTATAATTGATGGGAGTTGCTAAATACTTTATTCCAACCATAATGCCTTTTGCTTAATCCTTAACCTTACTATGTAACACCCGTACCAGAATTTGTTATTGCTTCCAGATTACTCACTTAAAAAATATTAAACATCAGTTAAACCCCCATCCACCCATGGCAGTTAAACTGAAGGCGTCTGAGAAGTGAGAGTGGTCTGGCCCGGTTCTATGGGTTCTGTATGGCTCTTTAAAAGACTCCAGGCTGAGTGAAGCAAAGCTCCATCCTCAGGCTCCCTTGCAGAGCTTGGAAAGGCAGAATTTTTTTATTCCACCCTTGCAGCAACACAGGGCAGTGGTGCAATGCACCGCTCGCATGAACGAACCAGATAAATTATCACAGCAACTACAATAATCTACAGCAGCTGCTTCTAGGCTCATGTCAGTCATTTCACAGCATATATTTGTGCTGTTAGAATTCCAGTATACCACTAAAATAGTTTTAATTTCAAATGAGGTGTCACATGTCTAGACAGCTGACCTCAATGGCACAGGATAAAATCTTGAATAGGTAACAAAATCATTAGGGTTAGCTCCCTCTCCCCACCATAAATACATAGACAAGCATAATACCCCTTAAAGGGAAACCATCACTTCTCCAGAAACTACACCATCAAATGAAATATTGAAAATCATCTATCACTTGCATTAGCATACTACGTTATGTGTCATAAAGATTTAGGAAATGACAATCCAGATTAATGCTGGCACGGTCATGGCACACAATGCAAATGAAAAAGAGAACAGAAACATTGTATCGCTTTCTCCATTAACTGTGTTCAATAGCAGAAAGGGGAAATATTTATATATTTATAACAATAAATTACAGTAAGCCAAGATGGAGGCGGCCAGTTTCAGGATAAAGGTAAATTCAGAGGTGTGGATTACTACTTTTAATTTTATTTTCAAGACCACACAAACAGGTATTTGCTAAATATAGTGAGAAGTAAACATAATATTAAAAGTCAGAGGAAGTAAGAGCTCCTTTTCAAAGCTCGTTAAATAACAGTAGTCACTTTTACCTCTGCGCTACCATCATAAAGACCATAAACAAAAAATAAAAGATTTATGAATTTTCCAGTAATTTGGAAAACACAATCTATCGGTCAGCTGTACTCTTATTAACTGTATTTATACTACAGGCGAACCAAAGAGTTTATTATCCTATCGCAAAACAAAATAAACGTATTACAAAAATAAGCAGAATTTGTATGTAAGATTAGATCAGCAGACAGATCGTAGATACGCAAACTTGATGCTTGTCTGAAAGTTCTATTGATAGTAGTGTCATGCCAAAAGCATGAGTTGGTGTTTGATGTGTGTTGAGATATGTTGAGTTGTTTCTTTGTAAACCTTGTGATGACATTTATTGTGGTCTTTGATCTTGCACCAGGCCTAGACCATAAAACATCTAGATAGCCATCACCAGAGCTGGACACAAGGAACTGCATAGAGTGGGCAATAAACCACCAGACCAACCCCCACTGATCCCCCCCCAGGGGTCTGCCCACTGAGCAACAACTAGGTTAGATATATAATGAGGGTGCTGGGCTATCCAGGGAGTTCTTCATTTTTTCTTTTGTCAGCAACTTCTAGGAGACCTGTACCATCTAAGACTCCCACAAGAATTCTATATGGGGTAACTACATGTAAGGAATTTCTTGTGTTTTCTCCTATTTTATTTTATGTACTGTTTTGCAATTTGTTATCTGTATGTCATTTATTTCTGTATTTTGTACTCAGCACTGTGAATCCTTTTTGTCAGATTAAATGTTTACTTAATCAGCTTGTGCCTCTGTTCTCTATGAACTTCACTCTCCAGAGGAAAGCTCAGGTAAACACGTTACCAAAAAGGGTTAACTATATATGTTTTATCAGTAAAAGTAGAACTGTGATACTATAATTCTCCTGTGTGTGGGGTAACCTAAGACGCCCAGGTTTAAAAATCTTGGTGGTGGCAGTAAAGTGTGTACTAGGGGATTAGTGTAGAAGGGATTGCAGGGGTTAATTGAGTGGTTGCTGGGACTAGCAACAGGTAACCAGGGGTCTGGTGTCATTAACCCTGTCACTTCCACACTCTCCCCACTGTTTGGGCTGGGCCTATAGCCCACGCTCGTGACAAGTAGATTGGCTTATAAATTAACTTGCTTTATTTGTAACAAGCTGTCATTTCATTGTCAATGATACAGCCACCGTATCAGCTCAGCATTTATTTCTTTTTTAGTATAAAATGTTTTGTGATTTATTTTGTAGGTGTTTCGTTTCTTGTTAACACGTATATGTCGAGAGCGGTTTATCCCATTGGACACAAACATTGTATCAGTCAATGTTCCTTTACATCCAGAGAGCTATTTTCGGGAAGGTTGCACAGTAAGCAGCGTTATGTTTGCCTTATTGTATGAGGCACAGCTAAGACATTAATTCTAACTATTTGGGGAAAACCAAAACCAGCAGTTTCTCAAAACGGTATTATTATATTCACTGTTATTTTTATCCATTGTTATTGTAAGTCTGAAAATAAACCCCAGTGTGATTCATCGACACAGAGCTCCAGGTTTGTCAAAGACCAGTAGTTTATTTTAATCCAAAATCCGAGCAGTGAGGCCCTGCTGGAGGAGAAGGGGCCAATGTCCATTTTGTTATGTATTTAGAATATAAAAGTTAATGCGTGCGTTCTGAGTTCTGCTTTAGGGAGAGGGTAAAAGGGGACTTTGTAACTGAAATGTAAATCTAAAAGTAAGACGATACATGATACGAATGTGGAAGCTACAATAGATAACGTACGGTTTGGGTTTTTCTTTGTTTTTTATATTGCAAGGATACGGAGTAAAGATCTGATTTCTGTTTGCAGGTTTTGTTGCTGTTATTTGTCCCAAGATACAGATAAAACGTAAATAATTCTCAATGTAATTTTTATTGTAAAATACTTTCTAAATAAAAAAATTAAACAACAATTATTTTGACATTGTTGCCTGGGGGTCTTGTCTCATTATGTTGAATCTCTGTGAATGTGGTTGTGGCATTCTGGGCACATTGTTGGTTATGTGTAAAGGATAATACGGCAGCAATATTTAAAAAGTGGAGCAAATAATCGGAACATTCCAATGTTTCCACGGTACTCCTCCATTTTTAAAAGTTTGCCCTAAATCGTTTTGATAAAAAGGATCTTAGAAGCACAAGGGCTTTGTCTGGTTATTGCCGGACTAAGCAGACTAGTTTGCTAAACAGCACAGTGTAATAAGTTGCCAATTAACAGAAGTGACGTAATAAAAAAAATATATATATATATCAGGTCAAATGGGTACATTTTCTGCCCTTTGTTTGGGCCTGAAGTTTGTAAAGTAAGTTCTCAATGCACAATACATTGTTTAATGGTTAGACACGCATTCTTGCCAGTGGGCCCTCATTACCTTTCATTTCTGCTATTTTGTTTACAACGCTATTTAAGAATTTTTACTTAACCCTATTGTACAGAGCTGTTGCACTTGTTGGCAAATAATATTAAGGAAACGGATTCTTTTTTCATATATACTAATATCTCTGTGTATAATTTGAGCAATACTTGTCTGCACAGCACATAAACAACCTCTGGCACTCACACAGTACATGTTACTACCTCTGTATGTGAGAAGAGCTTCGTCAAGGAACTCAGCAGCCGGTCTTAAGAACTTTGAGATGTCTGAATCGGGGAAATCGTCAACTTCTACACCCATGTACTGGATCTCGGTGCCAGAGTAGAATTCAGGTCCTGTGAAAACGGTGGTATTATGTCCCGCATTCAGGACATGAGTTATACCCATCCTCTTTAAACGCCCTTTATTGACCGCAACACTCCTAGAACAGCGAATAAACAGAACACAGTGATTAAACTAACGCACTAACCTTACGCTGTACAAATTAAGCTGCTGACAATGGTCTAGACACTGAACATACAAAAAGGACAATATTCACAGAGCACAGGAGGGAGTGAAAACTGACTGCTTGCCCTTTAATATAGAAAGATATTGCACGCTGCCTGGTGTTTAGCACTTAGCATAGTTAAATATCATTTAAATCTCTGTTTATATTATTCTGCTGGAAGTTTACATTAACCGTATATTAGCCATGGTCTCAGACTACTCAGCTTGTACTACAGGATTCAGCCACAATGTACAAACAAAACAAAGAAAAACAACCCACCTGCTCACTATAAAAGAAGGTCCTTAGTGCCTCAACATTGCCATAAAGTGTAAGCACCCCTTCGACTACTTACAGCAGCATTAATGCAAATAAAATGTTAAACTTTAAATAACCTTATTCTACTCTGGCACAGTTAATTGTTATAACTCACTTTTCAGCAATGAAAACATTGGGCCAGACTTCGTCTACACAGTTCAGTGGTGATTCCAGATGGTCTTTAAGAAGCTCTCTCTGCAGGTCCAACACACAGGGAGTGTTGAACAAACTTCGGTCATCGATCTTCTCCTTCACACGGTTGTATAGGTCCTCCACAAGCAGCTGCTCTGCCGACTCCAACATCCGCGGACATACGGTGTCCACTTTGACCTCTTTGTGTTTCAACTCTAGGACAGAAGGTCACCAATAGTTAGAGGCTCTGGGAGATCACACAGATTGTCCATACATAAATAAATGTACGATAATAAACTGCAAAGCTTTTTCCAATGTCTATTCAAAAACATTGCCATCCTGACTCATCCAGAAGGAATTCAATGTCATAAATGTAAGTTATTTTTTTATTTATTTTTGTCTGTCTAGCAGGAGGGAGCAGGAGATCCACACTGTCATTATTGATCTCTTTCCTTGCTCCTTTGCATGCCACTCTGCCAATCATGTGTGGTACTAAGATTTAGGGTCACCATCAAGGAAGTAAAGCTGGAACTCATGCAACAGGCATGACTCGCTCTTGTGCTTGGGACAAGCTACGTGCAATGAACTATGTTACCTGGAATTATGCATTGACATCACTTTAAGGTGGAGTTTCATGCCTACCTAGAGATTGGCAAAACTTGCCCCAGCATCAGGAACTATTAGTGAACTCAACATGAACGAGTCTAACTGGCAGTTCAAGGAGTTAGCACCTACCCAGTAATGTTGAAAGGAACACTCCAAACACCGTAATCTCTGAAACCCACTGTAGTAGTTTTGGTGCCAGGAGTGTCCTGGGCCCTCCCTGTGTTAGCAGTCAAACCATTTGACAATCTACCTGGGATCTGCTGGGCACTCACCACCATCTCCTGTGTAGCTGGAAGCTTAAGCAAGAAGCTTCCATTAGTTCTACTGAACTATGCCCTGCTCTCAGCCAATGACCACCTCCATGTAAATGCTTCAAATGGACCTGATTTGCCCCAGGTAAGTTTCCAGTTTGATTACTTATTCTGGGAGGGCACCAGGGCACTCCTACTTGGAGTGCTCCTTTAATAATGTTTACACCAATTATAAAATGTGATATACATTGCCATGTATATAAAATTAAATTAAAGAACATTGTTTTATAAATACAAGTATGAACATGATAATAAGGATTTTTATTTTTTTTTCAAGATTTCTGCTCTTGTACTGTTACTTTACACATTTAATAGCAAATTCACACATCAATGAATTTTAGGAAATAAAAAAAATAAAATAAAAATAACAACTTATTTGCTAAAATCACACCAAAATAACCAAAATCTTTTCCAATTCCCATATATATCTTGCTTGATTAGACTTTATATTATATTTTCAGTCTACAATAATTTTCCTGTTTAGTGAATATAACAATTAAAAAAAAATGTGATAAGCACTTATCGTGTTTTATAATGAATAGAAACATATAATATATTAATGTGTAGATAGTGTGGTGCTATAAAACATGCATCAGCTGTAGAATATATTTTTGAAAATATGCATCAGGAGAAAAGGCTTATATATTATTTTATATTATATTTTATTTAATCATATTATATTAGAGCCTGCTCTAGAGCATTATTACAGAAGAGGTAAATGGTGATCTTATCGGTATGACATTAGTGATATTATGATGTCATACACTGAGCCATGAATTATCTTGAATTCACTATAACAGTGTTTACCAAACCAGTCCTCCCGACCCACCAACTGTCCAGGTTTTGTCAGTTTCTCCACTTGAATAAAAAAGGGAAATACAAAAATCCTGGATTGTTGGTGGGCCATAAGGACTGGTTTGGGAACCACGGCTCTAGAGAATTTACACCATTTAGACCAAAATAGCTGAATTTCGAAACAAATATCTCCAATTCATATGTGTTACCAGTTCCGCTATTAGGGCACAAATGTAGCAACTCCATAGTTCATTCCAAAAGGTTTACGGTTTAGTTAATAAACCTATGGATTTTTCTTCTTGGTGTCTTTTCATCAATAAATTGCATCTGGTCAATTTATTATGATGTTCAGAAAAAATCAAAAAGTCTTCCACATGTTTCGGGATGATCTTTTGAATGTGTTTATTCTCTTGTAATAGGGTGATTTCCAAATAAAAACCCTGGATTTATTCTAACCCTTTGTAGGAATATAGAAAACCTAATTTTAACTCTAAGGTTTCTAGAATTAAGTAAATGGCTTTCTCTCTGCTTTTCAAATAGTTAAAAGATTTTTAGCATCTTAATTGAGCTCCATGAAATAATTCTGCAATTTGCCATTCCTGGAGACATTGGGTACTTCAATTTTAAGGGACACCCTTTATATTGGTTCACTGACTAAGTGTTTTAGAGATACTCTGTTTATCTGGGTTGAGGGAGAGGCAGCCGATCTTGCCCCCATTTTCGAGTCAGAACAGAGTCCCATTTCTCCGACTGCCGGTAAGGGTTATTCTGGTACACTAACCTTCGCTTATCCTCGACCTACATATCGTCAGTGCCACTGAGGCCCTCAACAGCTGAGTGAAACATTGTCTGATGTGACATCCATAATGCTACATGCTTCTCCGACACCCAAGGCTTAGTGTCTCCAATTATGGCTCGGTTGGACGAGGTGTTCACCGCTTTTTTGGTTAAAACTAAACTGCTGACCGCAGCCTATCGTGATTAAGGATCAAGAACACATCAAGAACCCGCCGCAGTGGGTAAAGCAACCATCAGCAGACACTACCCTCTGCTTCCATACCCACGAGGAGAGCACGCAGTCCATTACAAAAAACGTCCCTACCGCAAGTTTGGGTCCTGCACAGTGGTGGAACTTGCTGCATTGTGGAGGCCTTGTTTCTACTCAATAGTGCAGTGCCTGGAGGTAGCGGGGAATGGATGGAGCCTGAGTCTATTTCAGTTGGAGCGCTGGTGTGTACCTGATTCCAGGGTGGTCTGGCTGGTCAGTGGACCGTGGGACTTTTCTTGGCACTCAGATGGGACTGGCTGATCTCAGCTCAAAGATCAGGACACTGTCACAGGCATCTGGCCTATTCTCCCTACTGCTATAGGGACAAATCACTGCAACACGGCTACTTAGGCCACGAGTTTTCTGCCTTGTGTCACTTTGCATTTACATATGTTTATTTGCTCCTGTTATATTGGTCCAGTTCTAATTATTGTTGTTCAACTTTATTGTTAATATCCGAGCATACTACGTTGTCTTCCTTCTTAAGCTTATTCGAGTTATAACATATATCCTTATAACACAAAAAACCCTCAGTCCACTTAAAATGTGTGCAATCTATTTCTATGCTATCATGTGTTTTTCTATGAGCATTGCGTCATGTATGTATATATATCCCACGCTTGTGGATTGAGATTAAAAAAAGTTAAAAGTTCTCTTCTTCTGTCCAGCTGCATTGACAACAAGACTTGTCCTTCCCAATTTGTCTCTTCAACAAGTCATCTGCACGGGGCATTTCTACCAGTTAATTTATTACACTGTCATACTGTCAAGGTTACTTCCTTTTTATTCACCAGGTCCTTCACCGGGTCCTTGGTCTGCAGAGATGTAACACGTCACAATTAATGCTTCCAGCTCACAATTATCCATAATATGCCCGCAAATTGAGGCCCAAACTGGTTATTGTCAAGAAATGTGAAGCGACATCATTCTTTGACCTTGAGTATGAACCCAGACTTTCTCAGGAAGAATCCTTTTGAAAACAAATTTCAGAATACCGAAGAGATTACTTGTTGTTAAATATGCGTTTGGAATAAGGGACATTTATCCAATACAGAGGATAGGGTTTGGGGTATTCAGACAGCATTAGAAGTAGTTAAGTATTTTTAAAACAGCACATTTGGAGACATTCTAATGTGAATGATAATTATTCAACCTGCATTTTTTTCACTTTTAAAGCTTCAGGAAATCTGTGAATGTCTTTATTACGCTAATCTACATATTTACTGTTCAGTGAAAATAATTTTAATGCATTCTGATTGGATGAAAATATTAAGGAATCGAGTCACAAAAAAGGATTGACATTGACAATGAGTTGACGCATGACTTTTTTTACCTAATCAGTTGGAGTTAAATAAAATACGCAGTTCATTTAAATATGAAATGTATTTATCTAATTGTTGCAGTCAATGATCATCTGATGACATCTTGCTCTTCGGTGAACGGACCTCAAGAAACCATAAGTGTACATGGTTTCCTCTTAGGTAGCCCTGCTTTCATTTCTCTGCAATCCGTGGCTTCTTACAGCAGTAAAATGCAAGAAGCATATCCCATAGTTTTTAAATGTCTCCCACTCATCTTATGTTAAGACATTAAAGACCTTTTAACGTCAAAAGAAGGAAAGCACCAATGGGCACAGGTGTATGAACACAGGTGTGTAGTAGGAGAATGTATCTAAATTAAATGGGTTACCTTCATTGATAATCTGCTTAGCAGCCACCGATGACGAGAGGTGGATGGGCTCCATAAAGATGCTCTCCGTATAAGCGTCTGATACCATGGAGAAGCTGTAGAAATCATAGAACAGGTTAAAGTAGGAGACAGACCTGATTAATTATTAGATCAGTACATAACATATTTAAATTATTTAGTTGTTCATCATGTTTTATACTAGTCCAGGGGTAGGCAACCTTCGGCACTCCATGTATTATGGATCTCCCAAAATACTCTTACAACCATATTGCGGGCAAAGCACCAGGGTAGTCTACAACATCTGGAGTACTGAAGGTTGCTTACCTCTAGTCTTTTACAAATTACTAAGATACAAATCTCTCGATCAAGGAAAATAGTTTATTTTTAGTACCAATACTGTGCAAATCAACTGTTTTTATCCTCATTGTAACACACATCGGGACAGCGGATCTGTTACACAACTCACCCTAAGACAACTATATAACATGGGCTTCTCTTCCACCAATACGGGGATGTTCCAATCTTCTGCAAGCAAGTAATATCTAGTCTACAATCTATGAATTGTACTAACAATGTCATCAGCAAAAGCTTGTGACCAGTCATACATACCGCACGTCATATGCACACATGCTATAAGTGATCAGTCTTCCTGATTGATTGACGGTTGGTTGTAGCTGCATTTAGCAGAAGTATAAGAGTTTCCCTCTAAGCCTGACACACCATAAATTCATTTTACAAGATTTTGAAAGTGCTTACCAGGAGTCTCAGGTGTAAAAAAAAAAAGCTGTGTTGCAAACATAAGGTAAACAAAGAGTAACCAACCAAAAAATCCACCTGCACAAGTTTTGAAGTTCAAAAGCATTTTGTTATATACGGTTTTATTCCTGGTATGTACAGTAGGAATTCTACCTGCATTGCATTCTTGGTTGATCTATGTTCATATTGTAAAATATAAATTCACTTACTAGAATAGGCACAGTTTACATCTCTATGGTCATGGCATTTAAAGGGACACTCCGGCCCACCTAAAGCACTTTATATTACTATAATGCTTTATGTGTGGTGTGTCCTCATTTTTTCATTTTACAGAAAGAGCAAATTTCAATATAAATTAACACATTGACATTAATCTTGTTACACCCCTCCCGGCTGTCAGTCAGACAACCAGTCCTGCCACTTCCTGGTTTGTTTAGCTCAGTGGAGCTAAACTCAAGAGGCCGCAATTGCCCTGCACAGCCACATCTAAAATAACTGGAAAAGGAAACAGTGAGTGAACAAATGTTTACTTGTGCCTTAACCATCAAAAAATATGATATTGAATATAATTGCGCTGCTGTGTTAAACAGTAATTAAAATGCACATGCAAATTTCGTATGCACAAAATAGCACATATATTTAATGTGAGCTCAGTCAACAAACTAAAATGGGTCCAATTAGGGAATTCACTTGCTATTCGAGGAATACATTACTACTAACTACTAACGTTAAATACCTCAAAGTATTAGATAATCCTTATCAACTACTGTTTTTACACATTAGAATTGCACAAGAGATTGATTTGGGGAAAGAAATGACCAAAACATTGGTACTTTGAAAGGACACACTAATACAATACAAATATGGAAGCTTATCCTGGTCCAAATTAATTCTTACACCTTTATCTGTTTTAGTTCATCTTTCTCCTTTCCACTGTATATTTACATTTAATCGAAGTATAATGTATCCTCTCGCTTTCACCCCAACTCTTCCTGTATACATATCTATGTTCATACAATAAACCATAAACTGTAGAGAACTGACATGAGTGGTCCAAATTTTTGGCTGTATTTTTCCAACTTGATTGAAGTGGTGTAATATTTGCAATTGCCTTGTTACAAATCTCAGCTTAACGAATAAGCCTCCGAATTAGTGTCTTGTACAATGGGCTGCGGAACACTGCTTGCCATTTTCAACTTACCTCCAAACACACATTATCTGTGGACCAAAACTACTTTATAGGCAGTGGGCAAAGAGCTAAACAGAAATGCCAATCATAGAATTAGTATGAGCAGGAACAGAGGAACATAGTTCTTCAGTAATCTAGTTGTTTCTTAAAAATTTCGCTCAGTGACATCAAAACCTATCCAAAATAATTAGGACATGTTTGTTGAAAGAAATCACAGACTACTTGGCAATTAATTTTTCTTTGATTAAAAATTAGGTCCCTTACCACTTGCATTTTTATTATAAGCAACCCTTTGTTGTTTCATCAGATATTAAAAGGGAAGCGGGGAATTTATGTACAAAGAGCAATTCTAGGGCAACGTTCTAATGGTGTTACGAACCAATGGAACGTTCTTTGCTCTGGTTTTAGAACTTTCCACTAGAATTGCTCTCCATGCATCCATACTGAGCAAGTAAAAAAGATCTAATGCCTTCTCTTTTTGCAGCGTCACTGCACTGTGCATGAGTAAGTTGAAGATTTAGAAAAATCCTCCCTCCGTGTCAAAAACACTGTTTCTAGTTGCAGAAATGATTGTTTGAGGTGAGAGATTCTGCGGATTTAGGTTCCAAATCAGAAGATCGAACGAGTTCTGTACAAATGCACCAAAGTCAGTTCTATGACATCTAATGAGATCGCCAGGTAAAACATTAATCTCTTGGAACACCGGACATTGACGCTAGATTGCAAGCTTCACAACCAATTGCATTGTATTTTTATCAGAAAAGAGTGAAGTTGCTGTTATAAAACTGCTCGGACAAACCGCTGGTTCTCATTTTATTTTACCCTGCATGAGGCTCATGCATAAGGTTCAGGAGGTCAGCACCCTGCCAGTTTGTTATTCAGATACCATCATCATTTCTATTGTGATCCTTTCACCTATTTTTTTTTATAATTGAACTAGAGACATTAATATGTTTTTACATAAATATATTTAAAGTGGTTTTAATTTTACAAATATATGTCTCTATAGGACTACGGTACTGAAAAGGGCATCATGTCTCAGAGGATCGAGGTTCAACGCCCTACCATCTAAAATCCTCACTGGGCTCCACTGCAGATCTTGCAATCATAAACCCAGAGACAGTGAGTATAGCACATGTATTGATATTGATCTGTCATTTAATTAAACATCAGTAAGTGAAATACGGCCTTTATGTTGTATGAAGTAACAACGACGTCCCCAGACATTCAATGGGATTTTATAAGTAACCTTCTATTGCTTAGAAGTTTAATGCATGTTTTTTTCATGGATGAAACTACTCACTACTGTACATATATGTTGCTACGTACAGGCTTTATAATTACATTCTGTAAAGTATTCTGTAAAATTACATAGGACAAGATCTTGTATGGACACAGAAAACTTGTTTGTATATGTATTACGTTCCGACTCTGTTTTGTGATGTTGTACGCAAAAATATAATATATAACAAATGTTGTCACTTCGGGAGATATTAAAGTTTGGAGACCAGGTGAGTGAACTCAATTCCTGGAGACTCCTGGCCGTTTCAGGATGGTTGGCAAGCTTAGGGCCAGGACAGCATGTTTTTTTAACTCTGTTTTGTGATGTTGTACGCAAAAATATAATATATAACAAATGTTGTCACTTCGGGAGATATTAAAGTTTGGAGACCGGGTGAGTGAACCCGATTCCTGGAGATTCCCGGCCATTTCAGGATGGTTTGCAAGCTTAGGGCCGGGACAGCATGTTTTTTAATGTTTAAACACTGATTTTGTTGGAGGTATCAATAAATATAAGCTTAATTTTATTGCTAATATACAGTTTTATTCCTGTGAGTGGTTGCGTAGGCAGGGACCCAGTGCATTGCTTTGCCCAGGGGCCCATAATGCTGTTAAGATGGCCCTGCCTTCTCTTCCTGCTGGGCACAATGATAATATTATTGGGTTGTCACAAATGGAGATGTCCTTTAAATACCTCCCAGTCAATGTGTCCTTATTTACAATTCCATTTATATTCTGGGTTATATAAACCGATGGATGAATCATTTTGTCAACTAAGTGGGCTTGTTACATTTATTTAGATTTTTTTAAGCAATTGAACAGTTGCCCTGTGGTTTGAGGTCTAAACATATTTGTGTTTATATTCTCTGAATACTGTTACGTTATTACAGACTTTGGCCTCAATTTAATATTGTTGGATACGCTTTCCAAATTATTTTATACTTTTGGATAAACTTTTAAAATTATTTAATATTATTTAAAAAAAACTAATTTTGGAATATTTTGATATTGTTTCTATATGATATATATATTTATGTATATATTTTTTAAATACTTTATTTTCATGGTGCAAGGAATGACATACAGGCTTGTGATGCCACAACAATGGCAAGCTTATTGCAAACTCATAGACATATACAGTGTCATGGCATAAGAAGAAGTTGCCTTTTTTAAATATTTTTAGGAAAGTAGAATGCATTTACACCTGGTAGGTAAGTATCAATGCTGACATAGTTAGCCTAAGAAGATTATCCAGTTTTGTAGAGAAGACAAAGTGTTAAGATAGCATGCTATGTGTATCTAGGTGCCCTCTTTGGTTTTAAAGGGTCGTTATGCCTGTGTAGCATTCAGGAGGTAAAAAGAGGACACATAAAATAGCAGTAGAACATGCGGCTTGGCACGTGAGGGTAAGGATATAACATGTAAAGCTAGGGCCCACAGAAATGGTGCGAGCTGTGGGTCTAAGACCAGAGGGCTTAGCCCACACCTGTCAGATAATGGGAACTACCCTGACACAAAACCAGACCCATGACCCATGCAAATGTCCCCACCAGCCCCAGGCCCCCTCAAAGCCCAATGCACCAGTCTCATTAGTCTCAGCGTTGGATACAGCCAGGGCTTGGTCTCAAGATCTTTTAAGAGGTTGCTGCAGCTCACGTGTAGTAGGGATCCTCTGAGGGAGTGAGTGGTGTCCAGGAAATTGTCCCAGTTGGGCCACGGCCTAGAAAGGCAGTGGATCAGTGCCAACTCGGGTCTTCTGCGGCGAAGCGATTTCCGGGAAATCCATCTCCTGCGTGCTATGCCAGGGCATTGTCTCAGAGACGCAGTGGTGAGATGTAAAGATGGTGCCCATGACGTGACGTGTCATCGTGGACCAGAAGGTCTTAAATAGGGCGTCAAGCTTTTCCAAGCTGGTCAGTTGCGTGCCCCAATGTGCCGGAATGCAAATGGAGTCCGCCATCTTTGTCACTGCAGATGAGTAATCGCAAGAGCATTTCCAATGAGGCACAGCTGGTAGGTGCCGGGATACCCTTCACCGGCGGAGGGGGGTGGGGGTGTGGAGAGTACAAGTTAGGTCCCCATAGGAGGTGTGTGCCAATGAGCTGAGGGATCGTCGTGGTCACTGTAAGTAGGCCTCTGGAGAATGCTGCCGGTCTCGATCAGCAACATAGATTTGCAGGTGCTGTCTCTCAACTCCAGGAGACCACAGTAGGCGAAATTCACAGCAGTATTGTGTAATACAAAGTGTGCAACCGGTTGGTTTGGCTGCTAGGCTTCGCCCCCCCCTGATCATACAATCATTTGGAAATCATAGTCAAAAATATTAAAGCAAATCATTGACTTACACAACAGAAAAACAGTATTAAACATATGGGCGTAAGAGAACACTTTCTAATCTCCCTCTAGTAGGGCAACGCATATTTTAATATCTAGTCAAACGTTCCACTACTCCAGAATTACAGGTAGTCGAGTCTATGACTTAAAATGTAATTGTAGATTGCCAGTACACTCAGGAATGCTGTTTTTGGTATATATATTTGCTAGTTACACACATATTACATGTTAACGTTGAAATGAATGATGTCGCATACATTTTTTTTTTTTTTTTTTAATTCGATGAATCCATTCAGGACCCAACAAATTGCTAAATATATTTGAACATATTTCGCAAAAAATAAATAAAAAATCACAAAATAACAAGCATTCTGAAAATTGCCTCAAAATTATATATATCAAAACGTTCCTATAATGACACATATACTGGGAAAGGTCACCAAATGATATATAACGAATGTCACAAATGATGTACACAAAATGACTTCAAAAATTACCAACGTACTTGACCACCTCACAGCATGGAATCCAGCTTAGAAAATAAGTGCCAATTCCCTGGTGCTTCCCAGGACTAAATGCAATAATAGAAAAACGCCGGTCGGCCACACAGGTCCTAAAGCAAAATATAAAATGCTGCCCTACAAAAAAAGGGCCAAGATTACAGTGTTCGTACAATATTATGCAATTAAACATTCAGCTACTCGAGAATGTTAATAGATTGTTCTTTGTATGTATTTAGAAAGAAAATGTAGCAAAACGCACTCAGCTTGTTACAGGTTCTGATTGGACACAGTATGTATCATATCGTGCCATAGAGGTATAAGACAGACAGACAGACAGACAGGTATGGTACTTTCGCTAGATTTTAACATTTGGATTTCGTCCCTCTGTTGAGTCTGATTTGTTTGTTATTAGTTCAGGGATTTTTATGAGAGGTATATGCGCATACCACATGCTATTTTAGGCAGAATTTGGTGTTTCATAAAATAATATTTGTCTGTGGATACTTCATACCAAAACCAAGAAACTAAAATTAAAAGAAGAACAATATTCTTGAATTTATAGTAGGACATTCATCGACATGTGATAATGTTCCAAATTTCCTACGGTGACCCATTTGGGAGGGACATGGGTAAAGAACGGAAGTAGTATTAAAACAGCCAACCCATTGCGCTTCCACACATATTTTAATTAAAATAAAAACATACAATGTAATATACAAGAATTTAAGAGACCCCACACGTTTCACAAACACAAAGTAAAACAAACAGATATCTGAGCATGAAAGACGAACGTTATTTTGTTCATTTGAAATCAATTAACTAAAATATACCAAAAAAATTATTTCCTTCGCCCATCACAAAATAAGAACAGAAATTTGTGAGAAAACACACATTTGATGCTCATATTGAATAAAGCCAAACAATTAACTGATAATTGTTTTCCTCTCAAATAATACAACCTATGAAACAAACAAAATAAACAAAACAAAAGAAACTTAATACTACAGTATAAAATATAAGGATACAGAAAATATCCCAAAGGATGAAATGTATTAGTTTGTGATGTTACTTTTCAGACATCCTCTAATACAAGTGTTTGTTTTGTTTTGTTTTACCTTGTACATTTTATACGAAAGTAGACATTTTTGCTTATTTAGCATTTTATACTGTTTAATATGACATTCTTAATTCATCCCTAGGACAATATATTTTTCAGAGCATTATAATATTTTCTTCAACATTTGCGTAGCTTGTCTTTTAAATATATATCTTTTCTATATCCCGACATACACGCCAGTTTACTAGAGCCAGACAATGTATTATATTGGTGCCTGGACAAACATGTTTTTTATAAGATGGTGTAACAACTGTGATCCCCCCAAAATAGTCTCCTCACTGAAATGAAATTACTCTAAAGTGATAGAACAGGAAAGGGAAAAAATGCTGGGGTACCTGAGTCTTGTAAAAGAGTAAACTGATCGACTCCCTCAGCCAATCATCTTTGTCATATGTTTTTTTTTTTTTCATAAAATATATTTTAAATGGTCCGGCACTGCTTCAGGCAATGTTCCTTTATTGGTCCCAAAAACAATTAATGTTTTCGTCTCCTCCAAAGACTTGATAAAGGTTTGATAAAGGACTTTGGATGAGATGCAAATGGTACCTGTCTTTGGGTACCAAAAAAAAAAAAAAAATTTTTCCACTGATGCAACAGATTTAATATTCTTTCAAATATTTTATTTTCGGATTCATTTCTCTTTTTCCCACAACACTAAATTTGTTGGCCTTTTCCAAAATGCATATTTTAGGCCCAAAATATCACAGTTTCATGCAGACGATATGTATATATATATTTTACCATTATTAAAACAATTTAATAAATATAAACAGATTAGAGACAAAAAAGACACTGTTCAGAATACTTTCATAAATCTCTCCATTGGTGTCCCTTTAAACAAAGAGGGGTATCACACGTGTTTGTTTGTCTACAAACACATGCCTGCGTATAAAAGTTAATTATTTTATATCTCTGTATTTTCCTGTTTATTTGTAAATGTGTAACGTTGTGCTATCTCTCCATAACACACTGAAATAAGAGAAAAATCTTAGAGGTTACGTTCTGACTATTTCTAATTAAATTGGAATTATATAAATAATTATACCATTTAGCAAGGACATAAGTCTTTTTTTAATGTTATTATAGATTGTGTAGATGACCACTAAGATCATAAGGTTCTCTTCCTTTTCTTATCACCCTGGTAGTTGCTGCAAGGTTTATCCATTCATTTTAATCTTAGCTGATTATATCATTCAATTCCTTTCCATTTTTTTATTTAATGGCTTTTTTTTTGCAACAAAAGCCCCATAGCTGTGTTCTTGTCCCTTGTATCCGATCTCTGTTTGCATTCCACCCTCCAATTCTACGCAAAGCTCAGCAATCAGCGATGTACGCAACCTTGGTATGAAAACACATCAGAAGGATAAATAAAAAAAAAACCCTGTTTCTGCAGTGGAAATAATGGCAAGGGATTCAATCAGTGAGGACTGGTGGTTCTTGTATCCAAGGTGACAGAAATAACCGTCTACATCCATCATGTTACATATTACCAACGGATCGATACTGGAGTAGCCATCTGGATACAGGTCGGGGGGGGGGGGTGGAAGATCATCAGACCTAGCGTTTGTCATGTCTTTCCCAAAGCATTCTGGGAGTTATAAGATGGACATTTTATTCTGTGTTTTAAGCCGCGCTCGCTCCAAAGAGAATAAAACCGAATAAAGCGCATTTCTATTAAAAAAAAAATAGGACAGAAAAAGACGTGAGAGTGGAAAAAGGAATTTTCAATAAACTGCAACCATTTTTTCTCCTTCCTCCCTCTGCTTCTATTTCTATCATAAACCTAAATTCTGAAATAAATAATTGTAAACAATGTTAAAGGATATTTAAATGTGTTCTTCGCTGCCGCTAGGAAACGTCAACAGCATACACAAAGAGAACTGAAAAAGGATATTTTCTCCCTGCACCTATTCTGAAATCTTTTTGGCATCTGCGTCTGAAATGAATTCACCTTTTTGTTTACATAACATAGTAAGTAAAACGCTGCGCAGTTTTTTTACATTTATTTTTTTCTTCGCCATCGAAATACAGATATAAAACAACAGAAGGAAAAAAATAACAAAACACGCATAAACAAAGGGAAAGTCTAGCTTCTCCAATCATACAATATGAAACCAGAAAGAGATTAAAGCAAACCTACAGGGCATTATATCTGGGGAATCTATTGAGGGATATATAACCATTTCATTACCGACTTTTTGTGTAACGTTTAGGCGTTGAAACCCTTTAATGGCTTAGCCATGAGTTTATCACTGCTCGATGTTGAGCCGAAGACTGAGGGTGATGGGTGCTTTAGTCCTCCAATCACTGCAGTGGCAAAGGTTCTCCTTTAATAGGTCACCCTTAATTCCCCCCTGTGCTGGAAGGTTACGCCAGCTAATAGGATATATTTCATAGACGTGTACTGTTTCTAACAAAATAATAACGCAATCTCTTGATCACTTGACAGGCGTGCATTCAACATAGAATGTTCCGGAATCATAAAAAAAAATAAAAAAGCGCAGAGAAAAAAAAAAACGATTGAAAAGAAACGGAAAAAATATATAAAAAGAGTAATTATTTCCACTGTAAAAGCAGACTTTTAAGGCACTATAATTGAACTTAGAAATATTAAAACAAACCTTTGGACGTTGTTTGATTTTTTTGTTTGTTTTTTTATTTCATTATTATTTTTTATTATTGAAATAATAATAATTCTACCGTTTTTTGTTTTTTTGTAAAATGTCAGTTACAGAAAGATATGGAAAAAGTACCAGTGAAGACACAACCTGTTCTACTGTATAATAGATATGTAAAGTTATGCATCTGTTTATATATTCAAATAAAGGGCTACATGTACATATGCAAAAATATGCAAATATTCTTTGCTTCATAATTTTGCATTCATAATACTTCATGTTCCACTAACCATGAGCTAAATAGGTTAATTAAGTATATCTCTCTGCATATACAAGTTGAATAGATTTGCATGTTTAATTCCACTTTTAATGTTTCTCAATGAATAATTGCATACATTTACATATACAATTCTGATTTCTCAGTGTGAGTTGAATAGTTTATTACTTCAACATGTTCTTTGCAGAATAGGATATTCAACAGAATCATCTTTGCTAAAAAAAAAAAAAAAATTGTTTTTTTTTTAAAATTCCAATTTAAGGATATATAGTCTTTACCTGATTGCTCATAACTTGAATCCGAAAACTCATTGAATAGTGAAAATCATCACATCTAAAATTCCTCATATTTTTGGTACATGAGGTGAGACATATGACATCATTCCAAACAACAACAACAACAACAAAACAACAACAAAAATCAGCAGCGCAACTACATTTATATATATCCAATACAGATATTTGTAAGGTAAAAAGATGGAGCTTGATAGGAGAATGATCAGATATAGAATAACACGTAAAACAGTTTAAAAAAAAAAAAGGAAATACATTCAGTGTCCACTTTATTAAGACTCGCTTGTTACGTGAAATATTTAATAAGCTAATTATACGGCAGCAATTTAATCCAAGAAGGAATGGTCAAGAGGTTGAGTTGCTCAAACCAAACATCAAAGAAATGTGATCTAACGGACTTAGAACGTAGGATAATTGTTGCTGCTGCACATGGCGATTTGAGGATCTCAGACTCGTTTACCTGGATTTTCATGCACAACTTTCTCTCGAGTTTACAGGGAAACGTGAACATAACATCCGATAGGAAGTAGCCGGGTGAGTGAAAAAGCTTATGTTAATGATCAGACGAGGGTGGCCAGGCTGGTTTAAGCTTACAGATAGCAACAATGACTGAATTAACCATGTGTTACTACAGCACAATGTAAAGATGCACCTATGGACGCCAAACACTTTGCACCTTGACGTGTTTGGCGTCCATAGATGCAACGCTTTACACTCCCGTCAGCTAAGAACAGGAAACTGTCTACAGTGCACAGAGACATATTAGACATAAGAGGCGAAACTAGCCTGAGAGCAGCAGCACCGGGTTCCAAAGGTTTATCAGGGTCCATTGGGTGACCCTAATGGTCAGGGCCGCCACCAGCGCATTAGACCCCAATCACAGTACAACTTGGGTGATACAAATATCTCCCCAAACTGGACCAAATATTACAGAACAAAGCCCCTGCATGCACACACTTACATTGTGATACTGGCCGACCTGACACAGTTAGAATATAACGTACAGATTTATTTAATCCGCAAAAAGTAATACACGGAAGCAGATGCAAGCATTACGGCTCTGTGGAAGTAATGTCCAAGCGTGCACGCACTTGTACGACATTTCTCCACAGATATACACCGTTCTTTTTACATTTTACGAAGATGGCGTCGCCATGGACACAGAAGAGCTGCAAAGGTAAGTGCGTCTTATACTTACCTCCGCACTCCACTGCAATCCACACGTCCGTAAAGGTGACTTTTCTATTTTAAATAAAGGAAACAAAGCATACACCTTCACAGAGACGCGTTAAGACAATAATTCCGATGTTCCCCTTTCTGAGTTGATAGAAGCAGATTGCTGCAGAGATAATGAATCTTACTTCCCAAACAATAAATGTTGTAAATAATGGAAGAACACGCTGCATGCTCATTTTTAATAATACAACATTTATTTAGTATAAGAGTATGATTTACTGAATTGAGAGGTAACTGAAGAGAAACTTCATTGCAAATATAATAATGGGGAGTAATAACCCGAAACCGTTCAGCTGACAGTTCCCTTTCTGTCCACTAGAGGGCACACATTCATTGCAATGCAAACTTTTAAAGTTACATTTGTTTCTTAACATTTGTTCGTTTAAATCCTGAACCTATTACTGATCCGCTTGCCTCTGTTTTATTGTTTTCTTTGGCCAGTAGCAACATACAATAAAAAAAATAAAATGATTCACCAAAATTATGACACTTATCTATGCTTTTTGTACGACGCATTAATAGAGCAGGTCTCTGTACTTTGCTAGTGAAAATCTAAACATGTTTGGTATATATTTATGATGAGACTGAATCTCGTATAGTTTGGTTATTTTTGAATAGTTGCAGCTCATTGTTTTTGCTAATAGAAATATCTGCATAAAAAGGGGACTAGTGATAAGCCTTCCTCTTTCAGAGTTCCAGACACTGTGCTGACTTAGCGTTAATGATAGCTTTCGCACTGACATCATCAAGCTTCATTGTAGTGAAATTATAAAGTGGCAATAAATTTTACTATTTGTGGCAAAAGTAACCTCGTCATGTGTTCTTGGAGGGGCCTGTTTGCCAGCCTCCTGCCTCAGGACTATGGGCAATGCGAAAAGGCTCATAAAAGACCCTGTTCGTTCATTTTTGCTATTCTGTTCGGTAGATTGCATTCTCCTCCTATTCTAACATTGTCCCGTTCGACTACTAAACAACCGCATGAACCAGGGACCACCCGGGAGCTTGTTAACACTTATTAACACCTTGGAACATTTCTCACCGCAGTGTTCTAATTGTTCGTCTGGGTGGCCGCAATTCCTTGGGACAACCACGAGGTGGTGGCCATCTTGTTCGCATGAACGCAGGCAGAGGTGTTTAGGCATGAATCTTATGGAACTAAAATCGGACACAGAAACTCCCGTACACCGCTGGACTTCCATCATCGCCTGCGTTCAGTTCTATACAATTTAGAAGGGCAATGTTCGGTAAAAAATCGTTCGTCTGGATGAGGGGAACAAGCTCCAGGGTACGAACATTGACTATGTTTGGTAGTTTGTTCGTTTTTGAAAGTACCGAACTAGACCGACCGCAAGCCCTGATTCTCTGGAACTGTTTTGGGCATGAGACCATGCGTGCGGTCAGTCAAAAATAAGACTTCCAGGAAATTCCTGCACCCCTGAACTGATCTGGGTGATTTTTGGATATGTTAGTCACCCAGATCAGGGCTATCAGGGGATGTAACTTTTGTGGGGGGCTTGTATGTTTTAAAGGTATTTGGGGATTTTTTTAAACAATTGTGTTTTTCTGCCTGGAGATAATTGAGTTAGTACAGTCCATGACTCAATTATCTCCCAGGTACACAGGAGGGATTATCTGATTATGTATGGGAGTGTCCTGGATCTGAGAGCCAATGTGGTTGTGTGGTATACCCTCGGGGGGGGGGAGGTGCCCATTGCATGGGGACTTGCATATAAGGCAGTTGTGACTCCCATTAAACAAGTTCCTGCTTACCCTCAACATAGAGTCTCATCTCATGTGTGGGGGAAACGGCTTTATCTACCCTGGGGATCACTATACTCCTCTGGGTTATAATCACTTAATTTTGTAAGACCAACCTGCTTTGCCCTCTGGAGTAGGAGAGCTCTACCCACTGGAAGCTGGATTCTGGTCTTGGGTCCAGGGTGGGTGGAGGACAGCGGGACCCCAACCAAGCTGCAACGCTGGAAGTTGGAACTACAGTGCTGATGGTGTCTGGTGCGGTGCTTGTGGTACTCGGAAGCAGCGATCGGTGGGAGGTGGCCCGCCACACGATTTAATGTACATTTCTATGCTAATATTTAAAACTCTGGCTGCAATATTGCAAGATATACCCAACATATACCCAATTTGTTTTTTTTATATAGGGAAAAAAACAAATAAAAATAGTAATTTTTTGAAAAAAAATTACATTTATTTTGTAAGGTATACTTGAGCAGCAATTTATAAACAAAACTGCAGTTTTAACCTACATTTATATTCTAGCTACACATCACGTTACAAATAAAAATGTTACGCTAATTTGCTCTAATATTATATATATTAAAATAATGGGAAACTAAACAAAGGGGTAGGTGGGAGCAAACACTCACACACCACTCAGCCACACTCTCCTACACACAGACAAAATTCAGCCTGCATGCACAGACACACTCAGCCTCCCCCCCCCTCCATACAGCTCTCAGCCACCTCAACACACACAACATTTTGCTACCACACACTCTTACACACACAACACTAGGATGGGGCGCCAATCTGGCAAACTGCCTATGGCCCTGGTTAACCTTAATCCGGTTCCGTTCTAAAACAGATAAATTCAAAAAAATTTGCTAATTTTCTAACTCTCTAATTTTCTAACTGTCGTGTAATTATACATCGATACCAGAAACTACAATACTAATGTCTTGCACTCCTATCACTCAGAGCCAATCAAGAATCTGCTTGCCTGAGACAAACAGAGACACAGAAGACGCCCCAGCCATTAAAACCTACGAGAGCGGGGGCCATGGAGATGTTAGCTCAAAACTCCATTAGAGAAAACCATATAACCTCCTAGTGGTCAAAACTTGCCTGAGGTCGTCACTTCTTTATATATTCTATGTGCTGAATATATTTCGTTTTTTTTCCTGCTTCTCATTCTCAAACGTCTTTTTTTTAAATTAGCGCTGGGTTGCTTTTTCCGTGAGCGTGACAAGTTATCAAAGTGAAAATCTGGATTCAGAGGAAAGGGAATTCACATTAAATTAGAAATATTGTCAGCTGCTAGAGCATTGTCAATAAGCGTTTTAAACGTTGATGGGATGGTTGCAGTAAACGCACACTTTTTATTACAGGATAAAGAGATTTGGGTTTTGTCTCTGTCTTCCCTTTCATTGTAGCTACAATTGTTTCTTTTTAATTTGAAATCCAGCCTTTGTTCTCTTAAGATCTGACACGAGGAAGCTGTGTAATATACTCAGGGCCATTGAGTTTGAATGTTATCTAGAGAAATCCCCGATTATGTAAAGTGCCCTCATAAGATCAGTAACGAGTGAAACTGAAGAAGATTTCGCGCCATGAAAAACCCATCAGAAAATAGTCTGAGTATTCAATAATTTCGCGTAAAAACCCTTTATAAACATAAGAGGCTGCAAGGCAGAAATGAATAGAATTAAAAACATTTCAACGATCGTTGTCTGTTACTTCGCAACCTGCAGTTTGTGGGATAATCAGTCCATCGTCGGTTTATAATTTGCATGATAATTGGCCTGTATAAATTGTGTTCTTAATGCTGCACTGCCCAAAGCAGGAAATAAAATAATCACTAAAACATCTACTAATTATTATAACGTGATAATACTACATCCTTTTAGAATAAGTTATAAGAATAGAATCTAGCTTTTTAGTTAACGTTGGCATACACTACCCGGGTCTCTCATACAATGTATATGACCCCTTGGTTACTACATTCTCTATGGATACACTAATTAAACCCATAAACGTTTATCCAGAGATCAGTATACCATCTTTACAGCCATTAATATAGGTTTAATTTTATGCATATTTGGTGATTTTTATATTTATGGTTAAAGGTTTGTTTTCTTAAAGGGATCCTATAGTGCCAGGAAAATAAAGCCGTTTTTGGGCACTATAGGTTTCTAGTTAAAACCCCTTTGGTCACTTACCTGACATTGGCGCTGGGCCAGGCTCTGCCCAATGGCCATGGCCACACTTTCATTAGGATTTCCCCATAGGAAAGCATTAATAAATGCATTCCTATGGCGAAAAATCTGATGCTGGATGTCTTCATGCAGTGTGAGGGCGTCCAACGTCAGATACCGGACCAAAGGTTCGTTTCGATTCAGGAAGCCCTCTAGTGGCTATTTGGTAGACAGCCACTGAGGGCAGACTTAGAGCTGCAAAGAAAGCTGGAGTTCTATTTTATTGACAATTTATTCACGCCGGGTGTCTGGAGCTCTGATGACTCAGGAGACGGCCTTATTGGAGAAGATTCCTGAAGGCTAACATAGAACGACTAATATAAGATAGACGCTCTAGATGTTAGAACAGAGATATACAGAGATTCCAACCTTCCACCAAGCCATAGGTATTGCTACATGGTCAGCCTTGGGTACAGTCTCAGGTTTAGCTCAGGTTCCCACGCTGAGTACAGATCAGGTTTCCTCAATGAGTACAGCTCAGCCTGGCTCTTTCACAGAGAACAGCTCAGGTTCATTTATTGAGTACAGCTCAGATTCCTCATCGAGTACAGCTCAGGATACCTTAGTGAGTACAGCTCAGGTTCCCTCAGTGAGTACAGCTCAGGCTCCCTCAGTGAGTACAGCTCAGGCTCCCTCATTGAGTACAGCTCAGGATAGATCAGTGAGTACAGCTCAGGTTCCCTCATTGAGTACAGCTCAGGATAGATCAGTGAGTACAGCTGAGATTTCCTCAATGAGTACAGCTCAGCCTGGTTCACTCACAGAGAACAGGTTGGGTTCCCTCCCTCACTAAGATGAGTTGAACTCATTGAGTACAGCTCAGATTCCCTCATTGAGTACAGTTCAGGATACCTTAGTGAGTGCAGCCCAGGTTCCTTCAGTGAGTACAGCTCAGGTTTACTTATTGAGTACAGCTCAGGTTTACTCATTGAGTACAGCTCAGGCTGCCTCATTGAGTACAGCTCAGGATAGATCAGTGAGTACAGCTCAGGTTCCCTCATTGAGTACAGCTCAGGATAGGTCAGTGAGTACAGCTCAGGTTCCCTCATTGAGTACAGCTCAGGTTGCCTCACTAAATACAGCTCAGGTTGCCTAACTAAGTACAGTTCAGGGTCCTGTTCCTTCACTGAGTACATGTCAGGGTCCCTCACTGAGTGCAGCACTGAGTAGAGCTCAAGTTCCCTCACTGAGTACATCCCATCATCCCTCAGTGAGTACATCCCACCTTCCCTCACTGAGTACAGTTCCCTCAGTGAGTATATCCCACCTTTCCTCACTGAGTACAGTTCCCTCAGTGAGTATATCCCACCTTCCCTCAGTGAGTACATCCCACCTTCCCTCACTGAGTACAGTTCTTTTACTATAAGAATCTGTCAGCACATCTCTCAGGTACCCAGAAATCAGAAACATTGAATAAAATAGAAATCCAACAAAACTTGCCAGAATCAAAAACTAAAGGACCTTCCTTCGTTGTGGTTTTATTCGGTGATGGTACAGAGAGTGACTATCGGCTTGCCGGCAGCTATATTTATCATTTACTATCATCTATTGCAAGCGGTTACATTGCACACTTTTTTTAAAATGGTTTGAATAAGATTCTCCAGATCTGTGAACAAATCGCATTGACTACCCATAGCCAGTGCTACAAAGGGGGGATTTATGCCGGTTTACTGCCTGGTGGAATAATGGTTTTCTTTATAAAACGAGATGAGACCAGAGCCATTATAATGTCATGTTTGCCCTGGAATATCTCTGTCGATCCCCTTCCTCACTTTATGTAATGCAATTTGCTTATTGAAGGAAAAACTGCGCAAGTCAGATTTGAGGCTAAATTTAGCGAATTAAATCTATCTTTGGGAGATATAATCATTTTCATTTTTAAATCATATTTACTTTTCTTTACACTTGAGTGACAGAATGTGGGAAAATGCGGAATGTCTGATCCTGATCGAAGAGTATTTGTCCACTGAAACACTTCACCTTGTCCTGTCCTGGTTTTTTTCAGGTATGTACAGCGCCATCTATTGGTTGTGAAGATCTTGCTACAGTTATTATTATGGTATTTATATAGCGTCATCAAATTCCGCAGCGCTGTACAATGGGTGGACGAACAGACATGTAGTTGTAACCAGACAAGTTGGATACACAGGAACAGAGGGGCCGAGGGCCCTGCTCAATGAGCTTACATGCTAGAGGGAGTGGGGTAAAATGACACAAAAGGTAAGGATAGTGTTAGACTAGTGACAGTTGCAGAAGAGGAGCAGTCAGGAGCTATTAACAGTTTAATTGATACACTTTTATGAAGAAGTGGGTTTTTAATGATTTTTTGAAGGAGTGGAGACTGGGTGAGCATCTAACGGAGGAGGGAAGTTATGTGCACTACCTGAATAGCAAGACTCCATCATTTGCATATTCAGGTAGATTTGCATATTATGGTTTCTGCAGACAGGGAAGATATTTCTCGTTAGTTATTGTCTACCCCACCTTTTTATAAATATATTATTGTTTTCTTATGCGTGCATGTGTGTTTTCCCATTTGGTTACAAGTATTGAATGAAATTTGTTGCCATAAGTTTAACGTTATCCCACTCACAGAGTTTTCTGACCTGTTGTCTGGCTGCACTGATCCCTGATTCCCGGGAAAAGTTTAGAGCTAGGCCTGGAAGCTATAAGTGCCTTTGTAAAGGCCAGTGTAGGCAGAGGTATGCTACCTGCCTGGGAGAGGGGATGACGCCTGCCTGGGAGGAGAGAGCTGCAGCCAGGTCCTCAGAGACCTCTGTCAAGCTTCGGCAAGAGGGTCTGAAGTGCTCCCAAGTCCCTGAGAGAGCGAGGCTGACCAGGCAGAGGTATCACTTGAAGTATGGGAGCTATTCCACACGTATACCAACACCCCAAAAGTTCAACAAATTAACAAAATAATTGTCAAACAAATACAGTTAGTGTGTTTGGAAGCTGAATTGTCTATGATTTTTGAATAATTCTTTCAATGACATAGAGGTTGTTAAAAAAAATACCTCTGGTGCTAAATATATCATGTTCTCTCCTTACATAACACAAGCGCTAGTTAGCATATTCAAACAACAATTATACATGCAAATATATGCCACTGAGCTGCATGCATATTTAATTACATATTTGTGATTTTTTTTTGCATGCATAAACGGTCACACATTCTCATAATTCTCCTTCCCAGCTGTCTTATAATTGGGAAGTTTCTCCTGCTAGTTCTGCCTGGAATTTTACTAAATAATTCAGGAAGGGGAAATTTCTATGTATCTGTCTTACAGTGAAAAACACTACCATTAAATGCACCCAGACCACTTCATCTCAAAGAATGTAAAAAGTTGCATGTTTTTAGTAATGGTTATGTTTAAATCGCTGGGCTAAGCACATCTCTATTAGTTATCATACTGATAGTCACAGGAGGCGCTTCCACTGTAATAACCGAGTGAAACTTGGTCAGACAATGAGTGACATCAATGAGGTAATCGAACGCAATCAAATACTGCTAACAGAAAAGCACTGAATTCAATATTTTCCAATGAGAAGCATTTGATTGGACCGTCTCAGCCAATAAATTAAGAGCAAATAGGAACAGCATTGATATATTTAATGCAAAAGGGAAACAGGTATATCAGAGAAGAGGGCGTCCAAAAGGACCCAGGTATGTGTCCCACGGTTTGACCTATTACTGTGGGTAGGATGCACGCAACGTCCAGCACCATAACCACCACAGCACATAAACCATTAACAGAAAACGTTCATTCACCAGCTGATAACCAAATTAATCACTACCTTCGTGTCATAAGAGTAGTGGAAACGTAGGTGTGGGCCCTTTGTTTACAATGCCTAGAGGGGTATTTGTCACACCTCAGTGACGAGAAGGCCGGCGGGGCCCGTATATCTCTCATACAGAGTGAGTCTGCCAGTGCCATCATGTCAGTTCTGGATTGCCCTGTGAATGGTGTCATTCTAATATCGAATGGTACAGCTTCCCACTGCTATTACACAAGTGAGCAAAGAACTAACTGCAGAGAGACGGTATAAGAAACTAGCAGATGCCGAGCGATCACACATTGTTCAGTTCTCAGTGAGTGCCTGGCTCTGTTTTTATGCTATTTACATATAATTAGGGTTTGCTAGATTGCTTAGTGCAATCCAAATACGAGTTTATTGAGCACGGCGTGCAGAAGGTACTAGCTGTGACTGACGAGGCCTAGAGAGGCCTGACTGACTGCCATTACTCTGCAAAGGAAAACGTCTTGGCATTTTATTTATAGATGGCCCCACAGATTGAACCAGTCTTACGTGGCATAGTATAGTTTTTCGTGATGGCAAGAGTTGGCTAAAAGTCTTTTAATGCTTCCTGAATAAGTACTAATTATTCAGTAGCCTATTGACTAGTGTTTGCCTCGTATACTCTGCTTTTGGCTCCTGTGTAGGACATGTATGCACGTGTGTGTGTCCGGAAGTGCGGGTACGCAGCACATAGTATAGTATTTGTCATGATTTTTAAAATGCTAAAAAAAATAGCACTAAAAAATAAATAATAAGACGTTGGGTTTCGGGAAGTTTGATTCCTTTTAAGGAGAATTTACTTACCTGCTGGGAGACGGACTGCGCAAATACCGAGCCTGAACAGCTCGGACATCATCTTCTTCACCTCTGTCGGGGACTACTTGCTCGCTGTCCTGGTCCTGGCCGGTTGCCATGGTGATCTGCTGCAGATGGGTCTGAGCGCTGCAAATAGAAAATATAGTATTAAATTTAAAATGCACACCCCTGAGCAGAACCTGTAAGGATGTGTCAGCACAGAGATATGTCTTTCAATCCCAAAACCCAGAGAAGGGAATCACTCCCCGTCGGCAGAGAATTGTCATGCGATACAAAATGGAGTAACCTTCCTTGTTATGCAAAATGGACATAAACATGACTAATATCCCTCAATTTCCATCATAGTCATAAATCAAAGTCCAAAAAACCCTGTGACTTCCAATAAAACCACGTACAAACCGGAAAGGGTTTAACAATATATCATTTACAATAAAGTATCTGAGACTCCTGCTGTAAACTGTGATAAGGTGAAAGTGTGTCTGCCATCTCGAGGTGTTTGGATATTAGAATGATATTGACGTTGAGTAATTACTATGATGCCATTGGAGAGAGTTTTCGGCGTGTGATTGTTTGTGCGTATATATTACATACTTAATGTATAGAGTGAAATCGTTAGTCATCAGGGGGTGTCTTGAAATTAAACCTTAATAACCCATGCAGAATCGGTTCAATAAATGTTACTGCGAGGAATCCAAGTTGGCTGCCTGCAACACACGCTCCTGAGGGGCTGGATGATAATCTGCTCTCATTCATGCCCTGATAACATTAGCCATAACAAATTGTCTTAGTAGTGCCAGCAGCTGGCCCAATTCACCAATTATTCCTCTGTTGCATGTCCTTAGCTTATTTCCATTAGGCAGGGCCGGGCTAACATAGGGGCTAACAGAGCTGAAGTTCCAGGCCCATGTCAATGGAATAGACTCATTGATAAAACCAAATACAAATATATATATATACATGCATTTTTCACTACTCGTCACATGCTCTTATTCTATAATGTTGTGTAGGGGGAACTGAGTGTTTGGGCAGAATTAATTTTGACCTTTTACAAGTATTTTTTTAAAGTTATACCCCGTTAGAGACACCGTTTTTCAGTTTTCAAAATTAGAATTCTGATGTTTTTTGGGACATTTTAACAGCTCACAGATTAAATTACTCCATAAATGCATTTAAACAATTATATATGCAGCATTCTCTCACATTATTTTTTGGTGCCATTTCCAGGGGATAGTTTGTTAACAATTTAATTCAAAATTTGTTGTAATTAATACTGTAGTATTACAATCTAAACTGTGTTATATTTTTTGAGTAAATCCGTATTCCTTCACCAGAGTTTTGTGAAATTACAAAACCACACTTGACCTGTCCGGTTCATTTTTGGATTATTGGATAGATATAATATTAGATACTCAATATTGGAATATTATATAGATAGATAACACATATTGGAACATCGATAGATAAGCCATTTGGGGCATTTTAGCATCAATACATGAAGCTATTGTTTTGAATGAAATTTGCAGGTTGGCACCTTACATTGGGAGTTATAAAACTGGACAGTCATTGTGAGTTGGACTGAGGATGTGCTGCAGTTTCAGAACCGCTCTTGCATATACAGGACGACCGTGATTGGCCGTGCTCAGTGTGAGCAAGTGTCATGAAACACCCCCACTTCATGTTTGATCTAGAAGGGAAACCCCAGACAAAATACTTTAAATGGTAGGACAGAGGTTCCAAATTAGGACTTTTCCAAACGATTTGGAACGTTAGAGCAGTTTTAAAAAAATATGACATCGCCGAAGCAGACAGCATCCCAACTATTCCATCAGGTTCACAAAAAGGCATATGTACTAAACAGCAGATTAATGGGGAGTTGAAAATGGTTTGTAAAAGGTCAAAATTAACCAAAGAGTTGAAACCCAAATCTCCAGCATTGCTGAAATGTAGGTTTTTTTAAGTCTGATTATATTGGTCGACATTAATACAAATCAGGTGTTAGCTCTTTACTAATTACTATTTCGTTATTAAATACCCAGAGAGGAGATGTGGTCTTTTATTTCTCTGTGTCCAGATTTAGCCTGTGTTTCCCGTTTAGGACGTCAATTATGGATATAATAGCTCCGTCAGCGGACAAGTAGCACTTAAATATATCATTCACTTACGAAAAAAACAAATGATAATTTGTGATTGTGAATAGGAATGTTAGATAACCTGGAGCTTTGTGAGTATTCCAAACCCTATGTTTTCATAGGATTCGGATGTAAAGGCACTGATTATAATCTGGACACTGAATAGATAAGCTAAATTCTTTTTAAATCACCAACCGAACACTTTTACAAATACAAATGAGATAAAAATGTTCTTGATTCAGTGATTAACATAATTTACAAAGATAAATAATGAAGAGAGTGGGCTGGGACCTAAACAGCAAACGGGCCCTGCGTTACTGTGAGTCTAGTTACAAACAAAACTCTCCTTCCTCACTCCTGTGCGTACAGTCCAGGGTGAAAGTGGGTCTGTCATCTCGATGAGTTTGGATATTGGAGCGATATTGAGGTTAAATAATTACTATGATGATGTTGGTCAGAGTCACAATGCTGGCAAAGCATCAGGGGAGATGTGGTTCACAACATCTGGAGTGCAGAAGCTTGCCTACCCTGACTCTGAACGTAAGGAAATAAAATGTAAAATCCTGACATGACAGATAAGTACAGCAGAATCACCAGGCTGTTTGCAGCAGCGGATACGGCTTGTGATTATTAAATGCGGGACTCTGAGTCAAGCTGCTTTGTCAACACTCAGGGCCAATCTCTGTGTTTGGCAAACTAGCGTACAGGGAGTGTTTGAGAAACAGAGGACACAGCATCACCGGTTAGAATTATGTGTCTGTCCTGGCTCACGCAGAGGATGACTGAGCATCCGTCTGAGACTCCCCTAAAGGCAGCCTTTTTTAGAACAGCATAAAAAGCAAACTCAGAACAATAATGTAATGCAACCCAGGGTAACTGTTATGCAGCGAGCTTGCCGAGCAAAAAGCACTCGACTGTCATTGAATAAGACAGAATATATGGTAAGGTGCCGTTGTATTGATCGTACACCATGCTTAGTGCCATACTGTGTCAAATTAGAGGCTCTGGGCCAACGTGGGCAGTGGAAGGAAAAGTGGATTGGACTAAAATGCCTATAATCCCCAGCAGGAGCCAATTTATCTCGCTATTAAAGTGGAGCCCAGTTAGGGTTGGCAGATCCATCTTGTGTCCATTTGTCCATTTTTCTCACTCTCCCATCTAATGCAATATAAATATGGGCTGGTAGATATTAAAAATGCTTCCCTGCAGTATGAAGAATTCATATGCTACAATCAGCGACACGTGTCTATGGGTGTGGAAGTAACAAAGGGCCCTATTTCACCCAAATATCCAGTTCTCTGTTGCTTGCATCATATCGCAAAGAGAGCTGGGGGTACAACTTTCACCACGTCCCCCCTGCAAATAGAGAAATGCAGCTACACATAGTGAAATGACAAAATGTATGAAACTTTTTCTAAACTGGAATAAAACACATTGATACTGAGGGTAGATGCCCCTTGCAGACAGGTGGCTATAGAGGACCTCCTACTTAACCCGTTGGCATATCCAGGTAGTAAGTCAACGAAGAGGAATCCTGCGGTATACACATAACCCACACTAGGGGGCAGCATTTGTCATGTGCTGGCCAATCCTGTAGGTCTAGTTATATGGTGTGAAGACCAGGCTGATGTCTGGTGCTCCATGCGCTGGACAGATCTATGTTTGGGGGGCTCATCTTGCTGCCCCTGCAGCTGCTGCAGTATTGCTCTGGAGATTTATTAATAGTTAACAGCGCCCACCTTACCTCTTTCCTTACTATATTACTACACCATTAGTCCCTGTTATCTCTCTTCTTGTCATGTATACATCTCTAAGGGCATTCCTGTCGCTACACCAACCCCTCTGTTTTATCTAAATTATAACAAATGTCTGTCATTATCACACATTCCCGGGGTCCTGGACGCTGCCAATTTGAACTAATTTGATCAATTCTTCCCATTATTTAGGATTTGTGCTTATAGACTCAGATGAGAAAGGGAGAGACAATGATATGAACTTAGAATAGGTGAGAGACTAATTTAAACTGTGTGAAAAGGCATTAAATGGATATAATAAAACCAGACCCTAACGAATAGCTACTCTCTGTTTGTGCTTGTATGTCGAGGGGCAGAATTGCCAAGACACAGGTAGAGCTATTTACCAAAACAACCATGTGGGAAGCTAGTGCCTATAAGATTTCATAAATCGTTATTTAAACCCCATGTGATGTCACAGATCACTTCTATACTCTCTGCTGCTTTGACTGGACATTTAGGGGATGGTATAAGATTGCCTCCCTGTGTCCATGGGCAGAACTCGACTCATTTGACTGAAAGAATAAAGTACCCACTGACAGCTCCCAACCAATGAATATTCTCTAACCCTGGTATGAACTGGTATCATAATTATAAATATGAATTACTGTGCCAGCTACGAGTCTAACAGTTTATTACTGGATGGTGCATTGGGGTACCTAGCACCATAACCACAACATGGTGTGTTACTCTAAAATAGGAATAAAGTTATTAATATATTATTCAGGTCTTTACCATTCCCTGACTATGTATATCTGGGGACCTGTGGGGTGAAGCAGTGGCTTACATTGAGTTTCCAGTTCCCTGATTCTCACATGATTCTTAGTATCACATCAGAGGCGTAACTAGAAATGACTGGGCCTCGATGCGAAAATTGCCCTGGGTGCATCCAAGCGTTGAATCCACCCCCAGCCCCTCCATGTGTCTCATACCCCCTCTTTGCCGCCCCCCATGCATCTCATGCTCCCAGCCCCTCCATGCATCTCTATTTATCCTCCCCCAGCCCCTCCATGTGTCTCATATCCAGTGGGTACATACCGGAGTTGCAGGGGTCGCGGCTGCGACCGGGCCCGGCCCACCAGGGGGCCCAGCCGCCCTGCGACCCGGTATGTACCCACTGTGGCCAGCTTCTTCTCCTGGGGAGCCCAGGAGCCGGCCACCTCAGGGCCCCCCGAGGCTGGTCCTGGTATCACCCGGCGGGCAGGCTGGTGGGCGTGCGAGGGAGCACTCTCCCCTGTGTGCTCCCTCTTCAGCTCCCTCGCGCACCGCGTACTGATGCCGGTGCCTCCGGCATCAGTACGTGGCGCGTAAGGGAGCTGAGCAGGAAGCACTCAGCCAGGGACAGCGCTCCCTCGTGCGCCCGCCAGCCTGCCCACCGGGTGACACCACTGGACCCCAGGGAATCCCCTAAGCTCTCCCAAAGGTAGGGATTTTTTCAAAACAAAAGTGTGTGTGTGTGTTAGTGTTAGAGTGTGTGTGTTAGTGTGTGTGTTTTTATGTGTGTTAGTGTTAGTGTGTGTGCTAGTGTGTGTGTGTTAGTGTTAGAGTGTGTCAGTGAGTGTGTTACTGTGTGTCTGTTACTGAGTGTGTTAGTTTGTGTGCATCTGTTAGTGAGTGTGTGTTTTGTGAGTGAGTGTGTGTCTGTCTGTCAGTGAGTGTGTATGTATGTCTGTCACTGAGTGTGTGTGTCTGTTAGCTAGTGTGTATGCGTCTGTTCGTGAGAGTTTTTGTGTGTGTGTGTGTCTTAAGCACTTACCTTTCTCCAGCGCTGGACTCCCTTGGCGCTGGGGATCTCTCTGCCCGATCCGCCTCTCAGCTCCGAATGCGCATGCGTGGCAAGAGCCGCGAGCGCATTCAAACCGCCCATAGGAAAGCATTACTTAATGCTTTCCTATGGATGTTCAGCCTCTTCTCACTTCTCACTGTGATTTTCACAGTGAGAATTGCGGAAGCTCCTCTAGCGGCTGTCAATGAGACAGCCACTAGAGGCTGGATTAACCCTCAGTGAAACATAGCATTTTCTCTGAAACTGCTATGTTTTCAGCTGCAGGGTTAAAACTAGAGGGACCTGGCACCCAGACCACTTCATTGAGCTGATGTGATCTGGGTGTCTGTAGTGGTCCTTTAAGTGTATGTGTATCTGCATGCACTGGCGTACATAACACGGTCGCAGGCGCCGCAGCCCTGCGACCAGGTGCCCGCCGCCATGTGTTGCAGCCCCAGCCCGTGCAGAGTAAGTGCACGGGGGAGGGGCCCACGGATCAGTTTTCGCACCGGGGCCCCATGGGTTGTGTATACGCCACTGCTCATACCACTTTTTTGCCCCCCATCCTCCCAGCCCCTCAAAGCATCTCCATGTATCCACCCCCAGCCCCTCCATGCATCTAATTTCCCCCATGTTTGTCATTTCCTCAGTCCCAGGCCCCCCATGCGTGTCATTCCCTCTGTCCCAACCCCTCCATGTGTGTCATTCTCTCCATCCCTGGGTGTGTGTGTGTGTGTGGGTGGGGTTGGGTGTGTGAAAGCATGTTTGCTGGGTAGGATAGGGGCTGTGGGTGCTAAAAAGGGAGCTTTTAAAAAAAATATATATTTATTTTCTAATGTAATTTAAAAAAAATATTTAATATATCCCCCCCCCCCCCGTCCTACCAGCATCCAGGAAGGGGGCAGCATATTGCCTAGTGGTCCGGTGGTGCTGCAGAGGCTCTCTGCCTTCACTTCTGGTGGGTGAAGGCTCTTCCCGGCGTGGAATGGAACCACGGCAATGCTCAGAAAGCCAGAACTCAGCGCAGAGGTGAAGGCAGAGAGCCTCCTTCCCTTCCTGCTGCGCAAACTCTGCAAAGGCCCGGGAAGGAGATCAAAAGATCTCCCTAACCAGGTCTGTGTGCTTGTAAGGGGCTGTACGACTGGCCCACGGTTGCAGAATTCACAACTGCAGCCGGGCCCCCTGAAGTGATGGGCCTGGTCGCAGCTGCGACCCTTGCGACTGTGGTAGGTACGTCACTGTATCACATTATGACACATTATGATTGTTTTACCATATTGTTATTAAATTCCAAACCCGGGGCACTGCTCCCTCTCGTCCTCTAGTGTAATGAATCCATAAAGTGAAATATACAGGAAAATAGTTCAAATAAACAGGTCTCTCATTTATATGTTTGATTAATTTAGGACCCTCCAATACAGATAGATAACACCGTGTGGGGGCTGTGAGCGAAGCGATCATATAACATATATGTGGCAAAATGATCTATTAAACATGTGATACATTGCAGTTTCCACGTGTCACATTTTGAATACCGTAGTTCTTTGTGTCTATGTATTAAGCCTTTATCCCAGAAAGCCATTTAACTAAAAAGAAGACATATTTACTAAGCAGTGTGAAGCTCTCATAATAGAAACATAAAGACCTGCCTTTAAAGACAGATACATTTCGCCCTTATAATTTGTACATTTCCCACCTACAACACAGTGATTTATTAATAAAACACCAATCCCAAGGCTTCTTGAACACTTTCATAGTTCTATTCCCTGCCACCTCTGCTGGTGGACTACTCTGTGCATCTACTACTCATTGATGACTTTAGCCATACACGTCCTTCTCTCCAAGTTAATACTCTAATACTCACTATTCTTCTAGTTATACTTCAGAAAATTTAAAATGTTGTGTCCTTGTACCAATCTAATTTTAAATTTTGCAATTCATACAGCTCTGTGTAATATATTAAACATGATCCTCTGTCGATTGGGTTTCAGCCAAATAGTTAGATGACGGAGGGCTTTTATTTGCTAGGGTCATGCGCTGAGGCCCAAGACATGTACATGTACGCTCACTAAATCCAAGACTGTTTTAAAGAATTCTATCATTTACTATCCGCAAATTCTAGTTCAGTTAAAAAACAAATGCAACAACTGAAAAGAAGTTACTAATTTGGAATAAGTTTGTAACGATTTCACAATTCAATTTTAACTTCACTCAAATTTGGTATTTAGCAAATACACGCCTTAACACTTACAAATAGCGATTGGGGAGTTTTCAGAGAGCAGATTGTTATTTTAAGAGTAAAACAATATTCAGGCCACAATTGTTGAATTAACTATATTGTACCTTCAAAGATCACTATTGACCATATAATGTTGTAATGTTAAGAATGGTTCTGGCAGTACCAAAAAGACATAATATTTTTGTAGAATAAACTCAGAAGTAAAAATGAGGCCGGCACTATCAGATACAAAATGCACAAACAGTGCTAACGGTGTTTTTTATTATTTTGGCTTTCTAATAAACACTGTTAGCAATGTTTGTGCATTTTGTACCTGAAAGCGTTGCCCTAATTTTCTTTTGTCTTTTTACAGTTTATTAAATAATTTCTGAGTTTATTCTACAAAAATATTATACTTTATTCATTTACATGGTTTGTGGCTTCCAATAGTTAAACCTTACACACATTCAGTTACTGAGCCTGGGAGAACACCGTCTGTAGTTACATGTCTAACAGTCTATCCAGCTTGTGAGACTTGCAGACAGCTGTCCTGGGATGTCACATTCTAACCTAACGTTATTTAAATAGAGCAAGCTAGAAACATTAATTAAAGCCACTCAAACAAGCAACTCCATCCTTTTGTTGCCACCAAAACCAGCTTATTCACACCAATTAGATTTAGCAATCAAAAAGCATTAAATAAAGTTCAGATACCTGGAATGAAGTCGTTGACTTGCTATTTAGGTGCTTTGTCAGGCAGTCGGGCTGAGAGAGGAGTTACACAGACCCCTTAACAATCTTCTAAATTTAGTGTCAGCCCTGCATTGGCTGCAGATATTGTGTCCTGTCAAGGAATGTCAAGCCTTTAAGGCCACTGGATGACATTCCATTAACCCACTGAGTACTGGGTGTTAATGTCTCATAGGCTTGAAATATAACATGAAAAAGCACTTACAGATTTAATCCGTTGTGATATATTTTTAGAAAAAAAATCATATGCTTAAGGAAATAAAGGTTATAGATTAAAAAAATGTATTTAACAGCGTGACATCCTATTTTTTTAGTACATTTTAATAAATACCATAAAAAATACAAGAGAAAAAAGTGCTATAAAATTATTTTAAGAAATCACATAAGCAAATTAATCTACTAAGCAGCACCTCATAAAGTGCAAGAGCCCAATAAATACAATAATCTTTTATGGTAAATCTTAATACGGCATTATCATTCATTATGATGTGCTCTCCCAGGCCGTCTAATGAGAATCCCACTCCTGGGATGAGGCCGTCTAATGAGAATCCCACTCCTGGGATGAGGCCGTCTAATGAGAATCCCACTCCTGGGATGAGGCCGTCTAATGGGAGTCCCACACCTGGGATGAGGTCGTCTAATGGGAGTCCCACTCCTGGGATGAGGCCATCTAATGGGAGTCCCACACCTGGGATGAGGCCATCTAATGGGAGTCCCACACCTGGGATGAGGCCGTCTAATGGGAGTCCCACTGCTTGGATGAGGCCGTCTAATGGAAGTCCCACTCCTGGCATGACGCTATCTGATGGTAGTCCCACTCCTGGGATGAGGCCGTCTAATGGGAGTCCCACTCCTGGGATGAGGCTATCTAATGGGAGTCCCACTCCTGGGATGAGGCCATCTAATGGGAGTCCCACACCTGGGATGAGGCCGTCTAATGGAAGTCCCACTCCTGGGATCAGGCCGTCTAATGGGAGATACACTCCTTAGATGAGGCTGTCTAATGGGAGTCCCACTCCTGGGATGAGGCCGTCTAATGGGAGTCCCACACCTGTGATGAGGCCATCTAATGGAGGTCCCACTCCTGCGATGAGGCCATCTAATGGGAGTCCCACTGCTGGGATGAGGCCATCTAATGGGAGTTACACTCCTAGGATGAGGCCGTCTAATGGGAGTCCCACTCCTGGGATGAGGCCGTCTAATGGGAGTCCCACTCCCGGGATGAGGCCGTCTAATGGGAGTCCCACTGCCGGGATGAGGCCGTCTAATGGGAGTTACTCTCCTAGGATGAGGCCGTCTAATGGAAGTCCCACTCCTGGGATGAGGCTGTCTAATGGAAGTCCCACTCCTGGGATGAGGCTGTCTAATGGAAGTCCCACTCCTGGGATGAGGCTGTCTAATGGATGTCCCACTCCTGGGATGAGGCCGTCTAATGGTAGTCCCACTCCTGGGATGAGGCCATCTAATGGAAGTCCCACTCCTGGGATGAGGCAGTCTAATGGCAGTCCCACTCCTGGGATGAGGCCGTCTAATGGGAGTCCCACTCCTGGGATGAGGCCGTCTAATGGGAGTCCCACTCCTGGGATGAGGCCGTCTAATGGAAGTCCCACACCTGGGATGAGGCCGTCTAATGGAAGTCCCACTCCTGGGATGAAGCCGTCTAATGGTAGTCCCACTCCTGGAATGAAGCCGTCTAATGGTAGTCCCACTCCTGGGATGAGGCTGTCTAATGGGAGTCCCACTCCTGGGATGAGGCTGTCTAATGGCAGTCCCACTCCTGGGATGGCAGTCACACTCCTGGGATGAGGCCGTCTAATGGGAGTCCCACTCCTGGGATGAGGCCGTCTAATGGGAGTCCCACTCCTGGGATGAGGCCATGTAATGGGAGTCCCACTCCTGGGATGAGGCTGTCTAATGGGAGTCCCACTCCTGATTAGTAGTTGTGGGTTGTGGTGGGAGATATTATACTGTCTCGGACCTGCGCGCAGTCTAATGGCCGAACGAGCATTCTGACCCGCTAAGGGAATCCATTACTACCTCGGAAATTACAGTCAGGTCGGGATTTAACTATTTTAATGCGATGTCGGACAGACCCGGGGCATTACTTATTCTCTATATGTTTTAGAAATATAATTCTTTGTGTTATGAAATTCTCCAGAAACAACCCCAGAACACCGGCAGATTATTAACTAAAGTAGGAATTGTCAGAAGTTTGAAATTAATTTAAAGTGAACTTTACATTGTAGGCCAAAATAACAAACCTGAAAACATACCTGACTTGGAAAATCTTTACAATTCCGCTATTTTTATCAAATTTGAGATTTACTTTGAATTCTCAGTATTGCCCAATATTTAGTGAATAAGCCCAGGTGGATGTAATTGCATCACAGAAGTGACAGAATTCTCCATTAGCCCAAGCAGGAGGGTATCTAGGATTCACTAGAATACAAAATATGTCTGTTCTCCTAATTGCTCCCCCTACGGAATACACCTAAGTGTGATGAGTGTGTTGCTGAGTGTGATTGTGGTGGTTGTTTAAGTAGGTATGTGTGAAGTTGGCTGATTTTGAGTGGGGTTGGCTGAGTGTGATTGTGTATGGTGCTGTCTGAGTGTGATAGTGTGTGGGGTTGGCTAAGTGTGAATGAGCATTAGAATGGCTGAGTGTGATAGTGTGTGGAGTTGGCTAAGTGTGAATGAGCATTAGAATGGCTGAGTGTGATTGTGTGCAGTGTTGACTTAGTGTGATGTGCATGGTGCTGTCTGAGTGTGATAGTGTGTGGGGTTGGCTAAGTGTGAATGAGCATTAGAATGGCTGAGTGTGATAGTGTGTGGAGTTGGCTAAGTGTGAATGAGCATTAGAATGGCTGAGTGTGATTGTGTGCAGTGTTGACTTAGTGTGATAGTGCATGGTGCTGTCTGAGTGTGATAGTGTGTGGGGTTGGCTAAGTGTGAATGAGCATTTAAATGGCTGAGTGTGATAGTGTGTTGAGTTGGCTAAGTGTGAATGAGCATTAGAATGGCTGAGTGTGATTGTGTGCAGTGTTGACTTAGTGTGATTGTGCATGGTGCTGTCTGATTGTGATAGTGTGTGGAGTTGGCTAAGTGTGAATGAGTATTAGAATGGCTGAGTGTGATTGTGTGCAGTGTTGACTTAGTGTGATTGTGCATGGTGCTGTCTGATTGTGACAGTGTGTGGGGTTGGCTAAGTGTGAATGAGCATTTGCATGGCTGAGTGTGATAGTGTGTGGAGTTGGCTAAGTGTGAATGAGTATTAGAATGGCTGAGTGTGATTGTGTGCAGTGTTGACTTAGTGTGATTGTGCATGGTGCTGTCTGATTGTGATAGTGTGTGGAGTTGGCTAAGTGTGAATGAACATTTGAATGGCTGAGTGTGATTGTGTGCAGTGTTGACTTAGTGTGATTGTGCATGGTGCTGTCTGTTGGAGATAGTGTGTGGGGTTGGCTAAGTGTGAATAAGCATTAGAATGGCTGAGTGTGATAGTGTGTGGGGTTGGCTAAGTGTGAATAAGCATTAGAATGGCTGAGTGTGATAGAAACATAGAAACATAGAATGTGACGGCAGATAAGAACCATTCGGCCCATCTAGTCTGCCCAATTTTCTAAATACTTTCATTAGTCCCTAGCCTTATCTTATAGTTAGGATAGCCTTATGCCTATCCCACGCATGCTTAAACTCCTTTACTGTGTTAACCTCTACCACTTCAGCTGGAAGGCTATTCCATGCATCCACTACCCTCTCAGTAAAGTAATACTTCCTGATATTATTTTTAAACCTTTGTCCCTCTAATTTAAGACTATGTCCTCTTGTTGTGGTAGTTTTTCTTCTTTTAAATATAGTCTCCTCCTTTACTGTGTTGATTCCCTTTATATATTTAAATGTTTCTATCATATCCCCCCTGTCTCGTCTTTCCTCCAAGCTATACATGTTGAGATCCTTTAACCATAGTGTGTGGGGTTGGCTAAGTGTGAGTGTTTTTATCAACCTTGTGCTTACCTTATTGCAGCGAGGGGTATAATACCTTGTGGTCCCTGTGGTGATGCTGAGCATTGCACTGGTGGTCAAGTGGAGGGTGCAGACCACCTACATGCTCTTCCGGCATGGCTCTCAGTGAATGAGTCAGAGCGTGTTTAGAATATTGCTGAATTGGCATTAGACTGAATAATGGTTTTGCTAGCGAGGCCCAACCTGGCCTGTGCCCACTACTTCACAGGCAAAACTCCAGGACCCGGTAACAATAGCACCGACACGATCCTCACAATTCTGCCACTAATTTCAGGACATTCTGTTTAAGTCAAAAGTAGTCAACTAAAACAATACAAGAATTTAGAAGAGAAAGGCGGACGGTTTTGGGTCCCAAAGCGCTGCCCATCCTAATGAGGGACACTTGGGAGATATGTATAGTAATTACCAATCCATTATGGGTTAACTTATATAATGTATCCTTGCATGACCGATACTGACTGCTTTAGACAATAATCAAACATCCAGACAGCGACCCTAACAATGTTTCCACCCCTACAGTGTCTTTGTCAAGCTATTCAACACAATGCGTTAGATTTACTAAACGATGAATTGTAGTGAATGGAAAATCAAATTGCAAAATTTAGATAAAAATTGCTTATTTGAAAAAATTCTCAACTCTGCTACAGTCGTCAGCTTGGCTATTTCGGTTTTCAGTTCAATAAATTTGATATTTTGGAAAAATAACGATATCTAGAATAGGATGTTAAAAGCAGAGCAGCTATTTATCACTTAGAAATACTGTATTTACTGATAACTACCGATGCATCTCACATTATTATCCGCAGTATACTGATACAAATATTTAGTTTTATTGGTAAATGTCATGTCCATTTATGGTCAAAGTCTGAAGAGGCTCTTCATGTGATCATTTTTGATGGATTGTTTTAATACATCGTATATAACTGATGATTCAGGTCCTGTATCAGAATATGTATCTACATTTATTTATTTTAACTTGGTTAGTTAAGCTGATATCAGTAAGGCAATATGCATTTAATTCTATTCTATTACATGCTGACAATATTAGTGTGATTT